CACTGACAGGCATTGAGGACAGAAATTGTTATCTTTTCAGACTCGCTCAGGACTGGTAGTTGGTCGACTAGTGGAAAAAGGCAGTTAATGTAAGAAGTCATAAATGATGTAAAATTTAACTTAAATTTACATTTATTGCTTACACCCTTCTTAAGTCTTCTTTGCTGTTTCTCTTGTTCAACCTTTCAATTGTTGAGTACTACCTAGGAATTCTGAACTGGGATAACAGAAGAGCTGTCATTCATCTTCCTTCCCCCTTCTATATGCTCATTCAGTAAGTCAAGGGCATTATTAACAGTCCTGAACTTAAAAACTGCTATAGAAGTTTACAGGTAGGCAGTCTCTCAGAACAAACATGCATACACACATTTACAAATAATGTGAAACATAAGAACTCAATTAGATTTCTAAATATTGATCTTTTTCCTGACATAATTGATACTGGCCCAATCACTGCAGCCTAGAAAGGATTCCCATCACTTCCAGCAGCTGACACTTGCTGCTCCTTTTTGAAATCTTTCTTAAAGCAGTGCTCTACCTTTCCAACTGTGGGGGAGCCCCTAGCAAGCTGCAGAATGACCAGCTTCAACAATCTGCCTCTTAGTAATGCTGTATTTATTTCTAATTAAACTGATCCACATCAGCATATATCTGAACATAGCAAAATACATGCCAGTTGTATAAAAAGTGTCAACAGGTGTTTGCAATAGATAACCTAAGATATACTTGCTGTTGTTAGATGCCGTTGAATCAGTTCCGACTCATAGCAATCCTATGTATAACAGATCGAAACACTGCAGCCCTGCACCATCCACACAATTGTTATGTTTGAGCCAACTGCTGCAGCCACTGTGTCAATCCATCTCCTTGAGGGTATTCCTCGTTTTTGCTGACTCTCTACTTTACCAAGCACGATGTCCTCCTCCAGGGACTGGTCTCTCCTGATAACATGTCCAAAGTGAGACAGAGTCTCACCATCCTTGCTTTTAAGGAGTGTTCTAGCTGTATTTCTTCCAAGACAGATTTGTTTGTTCTTTAGACAGTCCACAGTATATTCAATATTCTTTGCCAACACCATAATGCAAAGGCATCAATTTTTCTTCTGTCTTCCTTATTCATTATCCAGCTTTCTCATGCATATGAGGCAACTGAAAATATCATGGCTTGGGTCAGGCTCCCCTCAGTCCTCAACATCTTTGCTTTTTAATACTTTAAATAGGTCTTTTGCACATTTGCCCAATCCAACGCGTCATTTGAGTTCTTGACTGCCGTTCCCAGAGGCATCGATTGAGGATTCAAGTAAAATGAAATCCTTGACAACCTCAATCTTTTCTCCATTTATCAAGATGTTGCTTATTGGTGCAGTTGTGAGGATTTTTGTTTTATGTTGAGGTGTAATCCATACTGAAGGCTGTGGTCTTTGATCTTCATCAGTTAAGTGCTTCAAGTCCTCTTCACTTTCAGCAAGCAAAGTTATGTCACCTGCATACAGCAGGTTGTTAATGTCTTCCTCCAATCCTGATGCCACGTTCTTCTTCATATAGTCCAGCTTCTCAGATTATTTGCTCAGCATACAGACTGAATAGGTATGGTGAAAGGATACAACCGTGATGCACACCTTTCCTGCCTTTAAACCACACAGTATCCCCTTGTTCTGTTCGAACAACTGCCTCTTCATCTATGTACAGGTTCCTCATGAACACAATTAAGTGTTCTGGAATTCCCATTCTTCGCAATGTTATCCATAATTTGTTATGATCTACACACACCTTTCCCGACTTTAAACCAAAGTATCCTCTACTAACTTTGAGATGCCAGTCATCACTAAATTCAGTAACGACTAGTTCCATTCTTCACACTCTGCAAACAACTTTCTAATAAATGCAGTTGTGTTCTTAGAATAAATCATATGCTTAGATTCTTGCATTTCTTTATTTAAGAAAAGGCGGTTTTTCTTTGCTTGAGGAAAGCTGAAGAGGTAATGATGTAAAATGACTTAAACTGCTTTTGAGGAAAAGAGAACTGAAGTGGTACACAGTCCCTCAAGTTTTAGACTGTACTGGTGTGGAGTCCAATTATTGACTCAACACCAAATTTCCCACTAATGTCATATCTACCTACCTTATATCTAACAATAGTAATTTTGCATGTAGAACCTTTGCAAGTACTAATATAGGCCATTTTAAAAAATAAAAATAAGATGTCACTAAGTTACTATGGTCTGCATTACACGAACAGTACCTAGCACAGTTTTTTGTACAGAGTAGGGTGCTCAATGCTTATGGAAATGAACATTTCAATATATTCTTAAATGTTTATGGCTCAGGTATCAATATAGCTTAAAACAACTTACGGTGGAGAGAGGAAAAAAAACAAAACAAAAACAAACAGAGGGGGTGGTTAACTTGGAGTATTGACACCTTAGGCATTAGCCAGCAGATATGGACTGGTATTGGCCATTTTGAATCAGACAATCCTATGGTCTACAATGCCAAGATTGACAAATTGAAGAGGAATGGTGTCGTATTCATCATCAAAAAGAATATTTCAAGATCTATCCTGAAGTAATGCTGTCAGTGATAGGATAATATCCACACACCTAAAAGAACACCAGTTAATATTACCATTATTCACATTTATACACTAACCACTAATGCCAAAGATGAAGAAACTAAAGACTTTTATGAACTTCTGCAGTCTTAAATGGATCAAACATGTGATCAAGATGCATTGATAATTATTGGTGACTGGAATGTGAATGCTGGAAACAAAGGATCAGTAGTTGGAAAATATGCCCTTGGTGATAGAAAAGATACTGGAGACTGCATGACAGAATGCATTACAGAATTTTCCAACATTAATGACTTCTCATTGCAAATACCATTTTTTCTATACATGGGGACCTTGCCAGATGGAAAACACAGGAATAAACTACATCTGTGGAAAGAGACAATGGAAAAGCTCAATATCATCATCAGAACAAGGTCAGGGGCAGACTGCAAAATAGCCCATCAACTGTTGATATGCAAGTTTAAACTGAAGCTGAAGAAAATTAAAATAAGTCCACAAGTGCCAAAATATGACCTTGAGTATATCCCACTTGAATTTGGAGACCATCTCAAGAATAGATTTGACACAGTGAACACTAATAACTGAAGACCAGATGAGTTGTGGGAGGACATCACACATGAAGCAAAGGGTCATTAAAAAGACAAGAAAGAAAGAAAAGACCAAAATGGATGTCACAAGAGACTCTGAAAGTTGCACTTGAATGTAGAGTAGCTAAAGTGAATAGAAGAAATGGTGAAGTAAAAGAGGTAAACAGAAGATTTCAAAGGGCAGCTTGACAAGACAAAGTATTACAATAAAACATGCAAAGACCCGGAGTTACAAAATCAAAAGGGAAGAACACACTTGGCATTTCTCAAGCTGAAAGAAATGAAGAAAAAACTCAAACCTCGAAGAAAAAATTCAAGCCTCAAGTTGCAATACTGAAGGAGTCCACCGGGAAAATATAAACGATGCAGGAAGTATCAAAAGGTGGAAAGAATACAAAGAGTCACTGTACCAAAAATGGTCGACGTTCAAACATTTCAATAGGCAGCATATGGTCAACAACCGATGGTAATGAAGAAATACAAGCTGCATCGAAGGCACTGGCAAAATACATGGCTCCAAGAATTGACAGAATACCAACTGAGATGTTTCAACAAACACATGCAACACTGGAAGTCTATGCCAAGAAATCTGAAAGACAGCTATCTGGCCAAATGACTGGATGAGATCCATTTGTACCCATTCCAAAGAAAGGCGATCCAACAGAATGTGTAAATTCTCAAATATCATCATTAATAACACACGCAAGTAAAATTTTGCTGAAGATAATTCAAAAGCAGTTGCAGCAGTACATCAACAGGAACGGCCAGAAATTCAAGCCAGATTCCGAAGAGGACATGGAACAAAGGATATCATGCTGACGTCAGACAGATCTTGGCTGAAAGCAGAAAACACCAGAAAGATGTTTACCTGTGTTTTACTGACTATGCAAAAGGCATTCAACTGTGTGGATCATAACAAATTATGGATAACACTGCAAAGAATGGAAATTCCAGAACATTTAATTGTTCTCATGAGGAATCTGTGCATAGACCAAGAGGCAGTCATTTGAACAGAGCCAAGAAAGGTGTGCATCAGGGTTGCATCCTTTCACCATACTTATTCAGTCTGTATCTGAGCAAATAATCTGAGAAGCTGGACTATATGAAGTACACAGCATCAAGACTGGAAAAAGACTCATTAACAAACTGCAATATGCAGATAACACAACCTTGCTTGCTGTAAGCAAAGAGGACTTGAAGCACTTACTGACGATCCAAGACTACAGTCTTCTGTATGGATTACACCTGGACATAAAGAAAACAAAGATCCTCACAACTGAACCAATAAGTAACATCATGATAAACAGAAAATTCTGAAGTTGTCAAGGATTCTGTTTTACTTGGATCCACAATCAACACCCATGAAAGCAGCAGTCAAGAAATCAAGACCTGTTGCACTGGGTGAATCTGCTGCAAAAGAACTCTTTCAAGTGTTAAAAAGCAAAGATGTCACCTTGAGGAGTAGGGTGCACCTGACCCAAGCCATGGTATTTCCAATTGTCTCATGTGTATGTGAAAGCTGCACAATGAATAAGGAAGACCGTAATGCCTTTGGATCACAGTATTGGAGAAGAATATTGAACATACCATGGAATGCCAGAAATCTGTCTTGGAAAATGCTCCTTAGAAATGTGGATGACGAGACTTCGTCTCGATTACTTTGGACATGCTATCAGGAGGGAGCAGTCACTGCAGGACATCATGCTTGGCAGAGGGTCAGTGAAAAACAGGAAGGCCCTCAACTAGATGGACTGACCAAGTGGCTGCAACAATGGACTCAAACATATCAATGACTGTGAGCAGTGAAGAAATCAAGACGTGTTGCACTGGGCAAATCTGCTGCAAAAGACTTTTCAAGTGTTAAAAAGCAAAGATAGCACAGGACCAGAAAGTGTTTCGTTCTTTTGTACATAGGGTCGTTGAGCTGGAAGCGACTCGACAGCACCTAGCAACCCCTACTCACCATTCTGCTAATCGTAACTGGCCAATCTCATGTATCCTTCCCCAGTTTAATCTGCAGCCCAGCTTTTTGAAATGCTAATCTAATTGTAGTACTTCACACACTTCAAGTGTTGTTTGGACAGTCTTTAATGTGAAGTACAAGCATGGCAGTCTGGTCCTTGCCTACTTCTTGAGCCCATACCAAAGCTATATTCCTTACTCTCTGCTTGAAACCGGCATTCTTTCAATTTCTACTAGTAAGTTCCCTCCTGCCAAAAGGCCTTTGGTGCAAGCCTCTTTGCCTAGGCACTTCCCTTCCCAGTTTAACAAATGAAGTCTCATTCCTTCATGAAAAGCCTCCATTAATAGGGAATTAAATGCTATTTTCTACAGTTTTCCTATAAACAGAATATGAATTGTGAAAGGTAAAGAATATAAATATCCCTTATCTTGTACTGACAATAGGTGATTAGAGTTATTAATGCAACACACTGGAAATCATTTCTAATAACAGTTCTTGTTTCATGGTAATGGTCAGGAAACAAAACTAGCAGAATGGGAAAATTCTCTCTATAAATCCTTTATTAAGGGAAAAAAAACAAAGATTCTCCCTATTTCATTAAAACAAGTCCCAAATCCTTTGGAGTTTGGTGTGTTATCTGGTCAAAAGATGTTCCTAATAATCTTTTCTTACAGTCAAACGCCAAATGCTCTCTGCTCCTACAAGTGTCTTAACTCACTCAAGGCAAGTGGAAATCAATGAATGCAATCTTCTTTAAAATGTAAACATATACCAAAGAGTAACAGAGTATCTAACAAAACCTGAACCACAATCTTAGTAGGGGTATGGGAAAGGGGTCCCAGTACTATTATTTCTCATATGGTTATTTCAATTGTTTAGAATCGTTACCTGAAGCTTGCAGGTCAGATCTCTGCGACGTGATTACAATTTATTACTGTTAAAAATATTTTTGTTGCAATCTAGAGAAATTTTTCACTTGATTAAAGTCTAGTGAGGTTAATAATCCCCTAAGAATAGTCAAATGTTTTTGGAATTTTAGATTTAAGAATAAAGTATCCTAGAAGTGTTTCAGTTTTTAATGCTAATTTTAGTCAGGTATTATCTGTCTTATAGATCACCAAAATGTTAATACAGAAGAAAATAACCACTTTGTAGGAGGCTGGCTTAAATAAAATGCAGACAACAGTTGAATTTTTGTTATACTGCACGTTACCAACAGATATGAATTATTCAAAATCATACACAATAGTTAATAAACTATAAATCAAACAAAATAAAGACAAACTGCAAAGTATTATCAAAACTGTATTTTATTTTCAATACAAGATAATATACCATGCTTGTTACTAGTGCAGTTTAAGACCAACAATGGCCATATAGCAAACTGCTGAACAGTCACCTAAATGCTAAAGAAAGAAAAGACAGAAAGTAAACATTAAACACAAAACTGCAATTACAAACAATTTAATAAAATGGAATGAGCTTTTTAATCGAAGCTAATATGGAAGTCTAGTTCTCATGGACATCAATAAGATGCCAATTTGATCAAACATCACCTTACCTTTGCACAGAAATCTCATTGTGAAGTCACCATAGAGTCAATAGCTAAAACTGTAAGACGGTCTTTGGCCTTCTGGTATTAGACAAATTATTTACAAACTGTGATTCCATAATATTCACGGATACTGGTAATATGATACATTTTTTTTTCTTTTTTTTGTTAAGGGCTTTCCACTAAAAATTGTATACCAACTTTGTAAGACTCTACAGGACTGTAAACTACTTTGCTAATATACCATGGGATGTAGAGGAAGAATGAATAAGAACAGACCTTTTTATAAGGCTAAAGTCATTAATGTTATAGAGCATTCCTTAGAATACATTATGATTTACCCAAAAAGGATCTTTTCCCATTAAATACCACCTGAGTACTACAATTTTCGAAGTAAAAAAATAAACATGAAGTTACCATTGAATTTTAAAATAATTTAACTTACAGAATGCTGAGAAGTGTTACGCGGCAACAGTGTGGCAAAAAAGAACACACCTTCAAAATGAAATGTTTTTACTAATTGCAGGGTCTGTCCAATTATGAAATTAATGCAAAACATTTACACCCATGGTGGAGGATACTCCCACATGAACTCTTGGTAGTATTTACTATCTGCAGTTACCATTTCAAGATTTGCATGACTTCAATTAAATTCTAATATTTTAAAAGACTCCCATTACAATATGTTAATTAATATAGCAGGAAGTCTTCAAAAAACTAAAATCTATCAATATATAACCAAGTATTTATGTGTCCCATACAAAAACTACAGTAGCTGCATACTCAGATAGTGAATGCCAACCACCTGAAATTTTAAATAAGAAACATTGATTAAGACAAACCTAAATCAATTTGAGTAAGATACAATTGCCTGAATATTTTGAATAGTCATAAAAATTCATATTGCTTCTTTCTACTGCTAAGAAAGAAGAGTATAAGAACTTCCTCCCAGAAGCCTAGACATTTAAACACACATTTTCTATTTCAATTTACAATAAAACTTTAATCTTGAATCTTTAGATTTTTCTAAATAAAAAATCTCATACTACAAACACAAGGAATGCCATATGTAAGGCCACATCTTAATAAATTTATAATTTTTGGTTGAATATTTATAAGAAAATTAGTCTAAGGCTTCTAAGAGTCAAGTTGTTAAAAAATAAATACACCAGTGTTTAAACTGAACGTTATTAAAAACAAACAAAAAAAAAACACTGTAAAAGATAAGAAAAGTAGAATGTTTTGCTACAAAAATCCCACTTGATATATTTTAGCACAAAAAATGTCTAATATGTACAATGGAGAAGCGTGCACATAGGTACATACAACTGGGGCAAACATTCATAGAGGGCTGTGGGATGCAAATAGACTTAATGAATAAAATTTAAATAGCAGTTATCTATAAAACAGGGAGAATCTCAATACTGTATTCTCTGTAAAGAATGAGAACATAAACTTCCTCTTAAAACAACTTAAGCTGAAGCTTAAACACAAAATTGGAGCCATCTCATAAGATACAGAAAATGCAATGACTGAGGTATCAAAACCAAAATGTCCAGAACACTCCAACAGAAAATTCTAGTAGTAGCATTTCATTGTATAAAACAGTATGTATTTAGGTTATTAGCACATTTAAATACGTAAGGGAAAGAGAAAGTCTTTGCCCTTTCAACAATTTACCCCCTTTACTATAAAATATTATACAACATTCATTAAAACCTCCGTGTTTATTTTAAGACTGACCTTAAACTATTAAAAAACAAAGTAATATTCTCCATAGGAGAATTAAATGAAAATAATATCTTAAGATACAATCCATATTAAGTTCTTTGTGGGTCTCTAAATTGTAGTTAACTGCTTAAAAACATTCTAGGTAGAGAAGTCATTAAATGGGGTAAACTATGATCAATAACCACTGCAACTTACTTCAAAAATCTTGCTTATGAAGACAGAAAATAAACTTCCAAATTTAGACAGGAATATCTTTTCCACAGTATACTTCCTTAAACCAAAAGCAGCACACTGAATTCACAGTACTGCTTCAGAAGCAATAATACCGTTCAGGTGCTATATCATTCATAATTTCACTGGTTGAAAGGAATGTGACTGCACAGCACTAATGCCATGGTTGAAAATTAAAGTCATTTGTTTTCATATCTAATAAATTATTTTTTGGCGTCTATGCAAGGACTTATCTCTTTGGATTGTTTTTACACATTAACAACAAAAAGAAGAGTTTTCAAATAACACCAGCCCGTAAACAACAAAAGGGTTATGAAAAGTAAAAACAAGGCTTACAATTTTCACCTTTACTACTATACATTCGTGTGTTATCAGGTAGAGAAAGACTTGGCAAAATTATTTGGTCAAACCCAAAAGTTATTTCCTTCTGAAACACTTAAAATAATGGACTGGGAACAAACAATTCTAGTACACTCATTATCTGCAAAAGAAGTCATGTCATCAGATCAGCCAAGTAGGAAAAACAGTGACAGAGAATGAGCAATTAAAGGGTTCCACTGATGAAAATGAAAAGGTAAATGAAGTAAGGACTTACTGGTAGAAAAATTTCCAGTTTTCATTTCAAGTTCAAGTGCAGTTAGATTTTTGTGATTCCATTTTAAAATTGCTCAGAGAAAACTATACTCTCATGGACATTTTACTTACCTGTTAACTATTAATTAATTTCCTTTGTAGTATATTTATGTCCATACTTCCTCACATTACGGTATTTTAATTAAAATATAAGAAAGCTAAGAAATGACAAAAACTAACAACACTTACACACAAAATAAAATCAATTTTGATACAACTTCCAAAAATGTTAAAAAAGCAACTGGATTTTCAACAAGATAAAATATTAAAATAAAAAACATTTCTGAGAGCAAATAGTTGTAATAAATGCCAATGATCCCATGCACAAATACTCTAATCACAAAATTTTTTAAAATAAAACTGGCAATAATACGAATAATTCAAAACAGCTATTTTGTGAGAAGTAGTTTGCTAGTGGACAAGATGAAATTAAACAATGGCAGTGCAAAGTGCATGTTACATAATATCGATGACACCCAAATACTTTAAGCACTGTCCTAAAATTTGGCTATTCTTTAAAAACCAATGTGTATTATCAGAAGATCTCTCAAAGATAATCAGATCTTAAAAACAAACTACCTTGCTTGTGGATTTGAACTCAACAAATTTCTGAAGTAGTGATCTGAAATTACCTTCCTATGAAAATATCCAATTATGATGACACTCTGCCTATATTAACTTTGCAATTAAGAACACATGCTACAAGGTGCTTTTAATGTGGGCCTACACATACAGGTTTGCAAAAAAAAATCTTTGATTAACTCAGAAACTCTAGCACGTATCAATTGGTTACATGAGCATACACAAGATTCCTTAAACTGTGGAGATAGGGTGCACCTATAATCTTCCATTATAGATGGAAGAGAATTCAACCCAATGTTAATAAACATCACACCCTTCAGAAATCTACAGCAACTGGAAAATTAAACTAAGGCTCTCTTTACTCATATTTATCCGCTGCATGGTTGTTTACATTGCCTGTGGCTTAAAAATTAAACCATAAGCACGATCAATATAAAACTGCAAATAACTGCAGCATCAAATGAGAACTGTCAAAATATTTCTTCAATGCTAGCAGTTCACAAGTAAGTGTTTCAGTACATCTGTGTTGTAATTAAGCTGCATTATTGTAGCAATTACCACACAGGTTTTTACTAGAATGTTAAAACCACACATCTTTTTGACCCCTAACACACTGACTGGATTGCTATCCTGTCAAATTTCAGTTTGTACAAGCTTATATACCATTCAGCAAAGTCACAAGCTAACTAGATAAAAACAGCTAGAAAAGCAGAATATAGAAATGTTAAATATCCAGGTCATCACCTATTCTAATATCAAAATCAAGGGCAAGAGACACTTAATTAGTATGTTTAATTCACTGAACGCAAGATTAGATTGATGCATATTCAAAAAACGCTATTGCAATACTTTTTAAAGGACAGTATAAATGTTCTCATAGTAACATTATCTTTAGATATTGCTGAACACAAGACTTTCCCTGAGGTGTAAACATCAAATAACTTGAACAGCTTTACACATCAGCCCCATTAAACAGTTTATTACAACACTACATCTATTGTAATCAAAGTGGTGCTGTTTACAGACATTATCATATGAACATTTTTAACAAGAACAAACTACTATAAAAACAAGCATTTACTTGACTTTTTTCCAACTGCTTGCACATTATAATGGCCAAATGTATATAACCAGTAATAAAGTTGCAAAAGCTTTAACTTTTTAAATCACACAGGTTTCCTTCAAATAAAACAGTTAAGCAACATAAAAAGTAAAAGTAGAGCTACTGGTTACCATTTACGCAGATTTGCTTTATTCAGATCTATTCCTGTTCATTTTATCCATGAATCCTTACAGGTTCAGTTCAATCACAAGAAGCAAACTGCTGGACAAGCGTCATTTTCCCCCATGAAGACTGTTTTGTCTTGGAAGGTGTTCCTCTTCCTTCAGCTGTAATGTGTCAAAATTTGTGATGTAGATTTTGCTATTCTCCATAATACACAGAAAAACGCTGGCTTAACTACACATACACAAGTCGTGCATCTATTTCACTCTTATGTATTCTAAGATAAGAATTAACCGAAACAGCAGCTGCCTTTGTGGTGGAGAAATGCTCCCAATTTATCTGATGATTAACACTGAGACATTCTGGTTTCACTCTTCTTAGATATTATCGACTTAAGAATTTAATGAATAAAACAGAAATGAAAATATAACAGCTACTGTTTCTGTGATGATGGAAACATTTATAAGTCATTTTCTAAAGTACGCACACTACAAAAATAAACGGAAAAATGCTCGGATGATTTTAATGTAAATATTTGTCATTCACCCACATATCAATTCTATATTAACTCATTTAAACAATGAAATGCTGAACTGAATATAAAATGCAATAAATATTTTACAAAATTAGTTGTATTTATTTCACAGCATACATGAACCTCTGCAATTATTATAAATCAAACGCTGCTCCAATTTACAAAATTTTTAAGTAAAATTTATAAATAGGTAGCTCAGTATGGGCATTTAAATAAATGACATTCACGTACAAATCTTTACACATAATACAAATTTAAAACATTTACTTTTAATGTCACCTGTATCAAATATTATAGTATATAAACTAACCAAAAACAAGTTAAATGGGAATCTACAATGATAAATTTCATTGAAAACTCACATAAAGAAAAAAAACACACAATAAATTTGATAAACTAAAATTCAAGAATACATAAATATGCAAACTTCAGGTAGAGGTTCACAATTGAAACATTCAAGTAACTTGGATATATGTGATCACTGAAACACACCAGGTATTTTAGATGTAAATTCCAAGAGAGCATTTCAATAAATTTAAGAGTCAAAAGGGCACAATGTTTAGTGATATTTTGCCATAAAAATTACTGAAAAATACTTTTTGTTCTACAATTAAGAGTAATTTGTCACAGCGATAAAATTTATCTTTTATGTCTTTTCCTCCTCAGCTAGGCTGTAAGCATCTTAAGAGCATTTGTACACGTATGCATCCCCAATGCCTAGCAGTAAAAACCTAAATTTTATAACTGGAAAAGAACAAAATTCAGAATTTTCTCTTTTAAACAGTTTCTGGATGCCTATATTTTTCAAAGAGATACTTAAACCATTTCTATTACCCTTTATTGCACCTTCATCTTATGATATGTTGATGAAGCTATTTAGTGGAATTATTTAATGGAAAAAATCTAAAATGGCAGCTTTCAAATGTTTTATTTTTATTATTTGCAATCCTCTTTTTAGAAGTGGTAAAGCATTAAAGAAAGAGAAGGTAGATGTTCTAATATGACAAAAGGATTACTGGGAACTCATGAAATCTTACAGCAAAAAACTGCTATCTCCCTAAAATTTTTGTTGTGCTGGCAAGAATACAGACAATCTAGGTCATTAAGAATGGAAAATATTCAACCTTTCCAAAAAATACATGTCAAATTTATATCACTCATCACTCTAATGGAGAATTTTACTACTTTTTCTATAGAGAGTCCTGCTCAGGAAATTACAACACCCATCTTTATCCGGGATGAATGCATTCGTTTTTTGCTTGATTATACTTTATAGACAAATCTTTACTATTAATAAATCTCTAATTTTTACCATACATATATATATAATCTAGACGATATTCTGGCAGTTTTATTCTATTTCTAAATACATTTATCCATTTGGAAATACAAATTTTACAATCTCAAACGGAAGCAACTCTGAAGGCAATACAACCCATTTCCAATAATCAAATTCCATATTAAAGTCTCAAATATCTAAGTAGACATCTGCATAAACAAAGACATCAGAAAGAAGTTTAAAAGTAACACACATTCAACGCCCCAGTTTTTAGGATATCATTTGGTCAAATCTGTGCTGTCAAAGCCATACAATTACTTGCTTTAGCTCTTAGTTATAAAAGGAAGACCTATGTAAACAGTTGTTAACAAATGGAATCTACAGCTCTGTAATGAAGTCTGTAAACTAAAGTGAGGACTAAGTAAAATTTCAATACACAGAGAAATACCTCTATTGTGAGGTAATGCAAGATCAAGCCAGTATTAACAATTTAAATTATGAGTGTTTCTCATGATTAGAAACTTATCTAAGCAAATGCGTTAGCATCAGTATTCCTAACCTCATGGTTAAGTTCATCTTTCAAGTAAAAGATTCCAATATATATATTTGTTATGGCTTACAGGTTTCCCTATTAATACATCAAATTAAAATATTCAAGTATAATGAGATGTACTTTAATTTAAACTCAATGAAATAAAATTTTTTCATCTGAAAATTTCTCCTTAACTTAATGAGAGGAATGGAGATAGGGTGGGCAAAAGAAATAAAAGTTACCTAAATACAAGTTAACTTCATTCCTTCTTGCATTGACTACAGCATATTTCACAAAACAATTTTGTTCATCGTAGATGTTTACAAAAAGTCCCTTACTACCAAAACATTTCATATCTTCATCTTTTTACTTTAGGACACAATACTTACCTCATTTTAACTAAAGCATTTTATTACACTATAAAATGTATACATGACTGTTGCTTTAGACAGTCCACTAAATAACAGAAACAAGCTTGATCACAGTCAAAGAAAAATTAGCTTTGCCCCAAAAAAGATTCACAAAAGGGACATTTCAAAATAGGATGTCATATAGAATTCACTGTGATAGTTAAAACATGCTACCACAAAAAGGCATATTAGTAAAGTTGGAGAGCATATATGGCACCCTTACCACTTTTTGATTATTAGGTTTTCTTTAAGCAATGCTAACTAAATATTTATTCAAAACATTATTTACTCAAAACAATCTAATTTACAGGCTAAAACAATGGTAGTAGATTTCACACCAAGATGGAAGGTGAGAGACCAAGGTGATCCACACTGGCATTGAAATTTTTTGAAATAGGGAACACTAACCGTTTATAAGCAAAATTATATTCTTAAACCACAGTGAGCAAAACTCTATACACTCACTCAAGGTATCACTTCCTACTGTCTTATCACTTAAATTACATAGCTGTGTAGAGACAAGTTTTGCAAATAATAGTAAAAGAAAGAAAAACTAGAACTAAACAAAGGAGAGCTAGCATATGCAGATGAAGTAAAGCAGTTAAGGATAAACAAGAAAACACACAGAAACACAGGGCTGGGAAATATTAAGCAAGTCTCAGATGACCTAAGAATTGCATGAATAATTTTTAATCTTATTAACAACCATTATCATTCATCAGGTAATTAAGAGAATTTAACTTCAGGAGATGAAACATCTAAACATGTAAGAAAGAACAACTAAAATGCTTCTCTGGGCTTTTTATATCCCCCCCCCCCCACAACCAACTGATACAAAGCTATATAAGCAGTGTCTTGGCTGAATGAAAAACGCAAAGCATCCTAAGTCTTGTGTATTTAACAACAAAATCTAAGATCACGTATGGTAGAAGGAAGAAAGTAGTAACACAGCAAAGCAAAATGGAGAGTTATTCAACCTAGACCCCCATACAAAACGTTTTAAAATTTTGCCAAAGAAATGGATATTGATTTGAGAATATATAAAACCTCAGAAATTAGGAAGATGAAGATCTAAAAAAGAGTAAAAAAATAATTTGCTTTCATTACTTTCCAGTACACAAAGCAAAAGCTGAACTGTTGACTGAAATTTGCTGAGTAGGGTTGTTCCAAACAAATAGCAAGAGGAGAGAAAGCTGAAAGAAAATAACTATGAAAGTAAAATAACTTCTGTAAGAAGTGTACAATATATTAAAGCACTGAACTACTTTTGCTCAGAGTGGTCTGAGAATAGAGGCAGAAATTACAGAATAGGAAGCACAATGTATTTACAAACTGAAATTTACAGTATTATTTTCCCATGAAAATATTACCTATTTGAACTTAGATACTGAATGCTTTTAGAAAAACTAATACATTTTTTAAAGTGAGAATGCAATTAACATTATCAACAATTTAAACACACAAAAAAATTAAAATGGGACAGACATTAACAACTTGCCAACATCATTGAGTTTCAAGTTAAATTAAGAACTTGCCCTTTTGGTCATTCATCACCATTTTAATAATAAGGTTACATTATTATTTTATTTATATACAGATTTAAAACTGACATTCATTTTAGCTTTCAAGTTACTATTATTCCACTTAGTCCATTTAAGATTTACATGAAAGCTCAAAAGGACTCATATTTTAAAACTTCTAAAGAGGTCAACAATAGACCGTATAGTGATTGTGATGCAATTTGCAGGTAGTTTTTTGTTTAAGAGCTTTCATTAGAATATGTTTGATCCCAGTCCCCACCCCTTTATTCACATCTACATCCACAATCAATATTGTTTAGTATAGCAAAGGTACAATATTCCAGGATAACAGAATCTTTTGCATTGGAAATGTTTATCACGTAGATTTTTGCTTGGATGAAGGCACATAACAATATTACAACTCAATTCTGATTAATGTACAAACAAAACATGGGAATTTTGGTATGGTACATCGGTGATTTAGAAAAAAAATGTCAACAACAATTTGCAAGTTAGGAATTCATAGTTAATGTCTGAATGTAATGAAACTCACGTCATGATATAGTTAGGTGTACCCATTACTGGACTATAGTTAATTCAAGTATTTAAAATTAACAATGCACTTTTCAGGAGTTTACCTGGCGGACTATGTTAATTTTACTAAAACTAGTAAGAAAACTATCATTAACTAACTTTGGGGATAAACTGGCCCAGAGGGGCCCCTTGACGGGCTCATTCAATTTGGAGATGACTGAAAATGTATGCAAGCTTCATTATCACGCCTCAGTAACTAAAAGCTTGCTAATAACTGACAAAGTCTAAATAAAAATACAACTTTTTTTGGTAGAACCTGTACCTTTCTATAAATGAAATGACTGATATAGTTAAACATTTCAAGTTATAACCTGGCCACAATTCACCTTAAGCAGCTGATGGACACTGGGAATTTTTTTCATAAGATGGGATCAGATCTATTCAATTGAGTGGGGGAAAAAAGCTCCATCTTTTAAAATTTAGTGTTCAGATTTACACGATACAACATTCATTTCTTATATCCAAAACAATATCAATTTCAATAAGCTTAGTTTTAAAAGTGAAAGATGTTTTGCCTCATATTAAAGGAAAGTTGAAGAATTACTTATATTTTGTAATACAATACATGGAGAACTATTTAGAAACTAAAGCTTGATAAATATTCAAGATGCATATTCTAAATGCAAGAAAAGGTATTAAAAATGGCCTTTTCATGTCAAAAAGCCCTTAAAGCTGTAAACAGTATAATAGCTTATTTGTGTTCCAGAAAAATTACAAAACTTTCATACTTATTTTCTAAATAGTATTAAAGGATTTCATCTGCTAAATGTTATGGTTATAAAGAGACTGCCATTCTGTCACAAAATTACATACACTTGCTAAAACCTTTGATTTTGCCCATGACAATTTAAATTCTAACAATTACCGTGACTAAGTTTTCGAAAAGTTTCTCATGATAACTAAAAACAATCTTGTAAAGAATAGTTAACTGTAAGGGGTTTATTTTAGCCTAATTTAATTTGGATAGGCCACAAACATATAAAGAAAAAAATATCTGTTTACAGAGTAACCTTTGTGTCACACGCACAAGCCGTGTAGTAACCCCCCACCACTTTTCACATGAATGTTGTTCACAAATATAAAAATAAAATTACACGTGAAAATGAAGTTTAAACAGACAACTCTCCCCAGTTTATGAAAAATGTACACAAGAAATTATTTTAAAATACAGAAAAAAAGACACAATGATTATGGTTTATGAATGAAACATCAAAGAAAATTATTTCAAAGTTATTTTAACTTGGAATGTATGGTTTGACACAATGTAAAATTTTTAAATATGGACTACCCTGAACCCATTTTAATTCAATAACTTTTGCATCTTCTTTGCAATTTAAGGACAGTTCACCCACCCCCTTCCCCCCTTTAAGAACAAAACCCAGATGCCAGGAAAATAGTCTCTCAGGGAACAGTTTTTTAAAAAAGTAAAAAAGCTCTTTCAATGGCAAGAAAACATCCTCCTGTACTATAAATCACTGTGTTAGATTTTCTTTAAAAGTTTCAGGGACAAGTGAGGTTAGTTCAAAGATAGAAACTTTAAATTGATTTTTAAAAATCCAAGGGCATTATGTATATAAACTAACTCCCTGTATTTTATACTTCAAATCACATGTAAGCTGTAGTTGAGAGAATTCCCATTTTTAGACTTTAGAAGTACACAATGAGTCCTCTTATTTTTTGCTTTCTTAAGACTATTAATAACCCAAAACCTAAAAGTGGTAACTCAGCAATACAATATTCAAGGATAAAAGATCAAAATCTTTACCTGTCATTACTTACCTGCCATTTTTCTCAGAAGTTTCCAGAAGATTAAATTCAGAACATGTAGTGGGACCATTTAAAATGTAGGTATATACTGTATAAACAATAGCCTTGGAGTTATAATTACTGTTAATAATATATATGCTAAATACAACAGGATCAAGCAATACCCACCTTCTCTAACGATGACGATACTCGCGCTCTCTGTCCCGCTCTCGGTCACGGTCTCGGTCACGATCCCGGTGTCTCTCTCGTTCTCTGCTCCTTTCTCTATAATAATCATCGTGACGATCTCTACTACGGGATTTATGACGTCGACTCTTTTCTCGTGATCTACTATGGTCCCTCTCTCTTGATCGTTCACGTCTTCTAAAAGAAATTACTGGATTAATGCTCTCCATAACAGGATAGCTTAAAAAGTTATTCAATATTTTGGTGTTTAAAAAAACTAAGGCAGCAAAAAATTCTTTCAAAATTCACTACAATTGTAATTATAAACAATTATAAACTGGAAATTTCATTTTTTAAAATTATCATGAAATTTGGAACGTGACACACCATGACAATACATCATATATCTACTTCAGCTAGTAGCCTAAAACATGCAATGTTTACTGAATGAACTAACAGAAAACAAAAGGAGAGAAAATTTCAAACACTTGTATTTCTGGCCAAAGAACATTCAGAATGTAGTTTTTTCAGAAATAAAATTTATAAACTCAACTAAACATACAATAGAATGAAAATACAATTAGCACCCATTAACTGGAATCTTTAACTACACCTATATATATCCATTTTACAACATTTCTAACTAATCATAATATGTTGTCAGGAGTACAACTCCACTAAAAAACTTTCTAATAATTAGTATAACCACTAGAAAGAACTGGGATACCATTTGCATTGTATTTAATAAGGAGAAATGTTTCATTGGCTGCTTTTATTTTTAACAGATAATTTAAACATATTGCCTAAAAGACTTAAAAATTGTAAGATGTACTTTCCAGTAATTCAGTCAAGTCCATCAATATAATAACTGATAAAACAATATGATCTGACGATGAGGCGTATGAGTACTTCTGCTAAGTCAAAAGATCAGAAATTCTGCTAAATTCTAACAAGGAAATAACAATTGTCTATTAGTTTAAATAAGAATATTCATACTTTCTATTTCTGCACCAGATAGCCAGACTTCAGCAAACATATTCTAGGTGCTAAGCTCCTTGATCAAGATCAAAGTTGTTACTTTGGACTTAAAAAGTTAAAAAGAATACTATAAAAGATACGGTCTTTAACTCTTGACAAATTTGTTCAGACACAAAGGTTCTTCCACTGGGTCACAAAGGTAGTAGCTGTGAAGTTGGGGAGCATGCCAAAGATAAGTTCTTTCTCTTTAATTAAGAAAACTATACCACCAGTTAAAAGTACACTAAAGACAGATCTAAGAATATCATATGAAGACTAAAAAATTCACCTTTAAAAACTATGTAAATTTCAAGATTAGTCAGCAGTAACGCTAAAGAAAAAAAAAAAACCTACCGAATAAGAAAAAATAATTAAGAAACAGACCATTCATTCATTTACTCCTTCATTTTAGAAATACTTATTTAGCACCCACTCTGTACTGGGCAGAAACCCTGGTGGTAGTGGTTGAGAGCTACGGCTGCTAACCAAAAGGTCGGCTGTTCAAAAACACCAGGCGCTCCTTGGAAACTATATGCGGCAGTTCTACTCTGTTCTAAAGGGTCGCTATGAGTTGGAATCGACTTGACAGAAACGAGTTTGGTTTTGGTTTTCTGTACCGGGCACTGTTTAGGCATTAGAAACATTGCAGTGAACAGGACAGATAAAGACTCCAGCCATCATTTAACTTGTGTTGTAGTGAGAAGAAATGTGCATTTAATAATAAGAAGAGATTACTGTATGTACTGTAATGAAATAAACAAGGATATGACAGACTAACCTGAGAAAAGGCCCCACTCCTAAGAAGTCAGACTGAATTGAGGCATGAAAGATAAGAAGCCAGCTATGTGGAGAGTCAGGGAAAACGGTTCCCATCAAAAGGAATACAAAGTGCAAAATCAATGAGGTGGTCAAGTTCTTGATGTGTCAGAGGAAAAGGAGAGAGACCAGTGCAGTTGGAATACAGTGAGCAAGGGAAGGGGTATAAGATGTAACTGAAAAGAAAGGGCAAGAACTACATCACACAGTGCCTCAATGTTTGCAGTTTTATTCTAAGAGCGAATGGAAGCATTAGAATGGTTTTAAGCAACTACTTGACATTTTATTGAGTTAAAAAAAATCATTCTGACTGCTGAACAAACAATAGGTAAAATCAAATTCCTATTTTAAAGTCCTCCAAACACAATACATTTCCATTTGTAAACTAGAAGTTTTAAATATACATGAGACAGAAAAGTTTTACCTTGATCCAGAACCGTAAGACTTGGACTCAATTCCATGAAGGCAATCTTGCAAAGAGCTAATAAGGACTTTGCAACGATCATCAGCGGATACTTTGGATTGTTTAATTAAGGAAATTGCGGTTACCAATGTCTCAATAGCACTCCCATAATCACCTGTGGAGAAAGGGGAGGGCTGAAGTCAAAAGAAATTTTGTTTCCAAAATACCAACAAATCACTTGGCGTTAAGATAATTTTTTTTTAGCAGTTCACCTTTAGCAAAAGGCTTTCATGTACATGAAAATAACCCAATTTGTTATTATTACAGCTGTATCAAGCAGATTAACATTTTGCAAATATCAGAATAGGTGAGCTTCCTTAAGGCCCCAGAACTAAGACTTAAATCTACACCTAATAATTTAAAATTAAGGGTCTTTCCACTACAGTGTGACTTATCTATAGCTTCCTTCAATGTCTTTTAAATAAATTATAGGTAATTTATTGGGTGGCACAAATGGTTAAGCACTGGACTACTAATACTAACCAAAAGGTTGGCAGTTCAAACCCACCCAGACGAGCCTCGGAAGACAGGCCTGGTGATCTGCTTTCTAAAGGTCACAGCCTTGAAAACCCTATGGAGCAGGTCTATTCTGCACACTTGGGGACCCGCCAGCAACAACAACAGTGGTGATTTGGGAAGATAAAAAGACCTACTGTATGTAAATAACTCATCTTCAAGACTATATTTAAAGTTTTAGGTCATAATACCATAAATAAGAAACATTAATACAGGAAGAAATATACAAACCAGCACTGGCATCAGACACAGCTCTTGAAATGGCACTGCTTGAGATTGCCCTATTTCTATTCATGATTTCTTCAAACTCAGCTTCACTCAATGGCGTTCTTGCAGTATCCATTTCCCTATAAAATCAAAATAATCCTTAAATTATACTCAACAGATTGTCTAAGTTAATCGTAACAGCGTGAAGCAATTCATACTAGCTGCTTTTGACAAGGGCCTTAGAGATAGTGGTTACTTTTCCAGACTGAAGCATGCCTATTTTTCCCTGCAAAGAGAACAAGTCTAAACAAAACTCTCTTACACTATGACCTTTCAGCTGAAATAAAACAGATCAGAAACCTAATCTTTGTGGAGGATAAAAATAATAAATTTACATATCTATAACACTTTTCAGTCAAACACATAATAAGTTGTTCTGAAGAATATATATAGAGACAGAGAGAGAGAAGGAAGGAGAGGGATGGTAGGAGGGAGGGGGAGGGGGAGGGTGCTGATAGCAAGAAAATATATCACTACACAATAAGTGTAGAAATGTGGTTTCATTTATGTTTGGATCCACCAGCCACAGGGCCCAACTCATAGTAGAGGAATAATAAATATCTGCTTAATTAATAGAATATAAATTTCATGAGGGACAAGATCTTATACTACCCTGTCTGCCCCTGAATCTCTAGCAGAGAATCTGGCATGAGTAATATAAAGGTAATACAAAAATGTAAATATATGTTGAAAGAAAAATTTAATAAAATCTCAGGATTTTATAAAATTGACAACTAGTGTGACTACATGTACAGTACAAAAAAAGGCACAATTTCTGCCGTCTCAGAAGTTATAAAGTAGGATGATGTGAGTTGAGTCAAGCAGTAACAGTTCATGTCAATGAAAAAATAGCTAATTAACTTTTTACATGCATATAAGCTATTACTGTTTTATTATTTGCATAGTACCTCCCAAATCATTTCTAATTATTCCCAAACTTTATAAACATTCTGACCAAATTATAAATTATCCGAAATAATGTGTGATTTCAGCTAAATGTTGTGACTTGTGTTCATACTATCTACCCCAAAAAAACACCATGTAAAAATCACTGTTCTTTAATTTTCAATTTAAAAAAGTCAATAACCAAAAAATTATCCTTGAAAACATGAAATTATAGAAATTCTGTATTATGTTACAGAATGGATACAAGACTCAAAGAAATTTTCAAACGAAGTCACATAACACACTCTTATACAGTAGGAGTGAATACTTTTTTTCCCCTGCTTTAAAATGGTTTTTTTTTTAAACTGTGCTTTAGGTGTAAGTGTACAGAGCAAATTAGTTTCTCATTCAACAATTTATACACAAATTGTTTTGTGACACCGGCTGCAATCCCCACAATGTGTCAACACCCACCCCCGCATTCCACCCTAGGTTCCCCATTTCCATGTCCCTTCCTGCCTTCTTGTCCTTGCTTTTGAGCAGATGTTGCCCATTTGGTCTCATTTACATGACTGAGCTGATAAGAAGCACGTTCCTCACGTGTGCTACTGTTTTACAGACCTGTGTAATCTTTCGGCTGAAGGGTGAACTTCAAGAGTGACTTCAGTTCTGAGTTAAAATGGTGTCTGGGGGCCAGTCTCGGGGTTCCTCCAGTCTCAGTCAAACCAGTAAGCCTCATTTTTTTGTGTGAATTTGAACTTTGTTCTACATTTTTCTCCCGTTCTGGCTGGGACCCTCTATTGTGATCCCTGTCAGAATGGTTGGTAGTGGTAGCCAGGTACCATCAAGTTGTTCTGGGCTTAGGCTGGTGGAGATTGTGGTACTTGTGGTCCAATAGTCCTTTGGACTAACATTTCCCATGTGTCTTTGGTTTTCTTCATTTTCTTTTGCTCTGGACAGGATCGGACCAGTAGATGTATCTTAGATGGACACCTGCAAGCTTTTAAGACCCCCGATGCTACTCACCAGAAATCAGAGAACATTTTCTTTATAAACTATGTTATGCCAACTGACCTAGGTGTTCCCTGAGACCATGGTGCTCAGCCCTTAGCTCAGTAACTCCGTCCCTCAGGGTGTTTGGATGTGTCTATTAAGTTTCTACGACTTTGCGTTTGTCATGTTGTGCTGATTTCCACTATAACATGTACTCTTTCCTTTCACCAAAGTTACCACTTATCTACTATCTAGTTACTGATTTCCCCTCTTCCCTCATAACCATCAAAGATTGTTTCTTTCTGTGTGTAAACCTTTTCTTGAGTTTTTATAATAGCGGCCTCATAAAGCACTTGTCCTTTTGTGATTGACTTATTTCACTCAGCATAATGCCTTCCAGATTCATCCATGTTGTGAGATGTTTCACAGATTCATCATTGTTCTTTATTGTTGCATAGTATTCCATTATGTGTATGTACCACAATTTGTTTATCCACTCATCTGCTGTTTCCATTTCTTTGCTATTGTGAATAGTGCTGCAATGAACATGGGTGTGCATATGTCTATTCAAGTGATGGCTTATTTCTCTAGGATATATTCTTAGGAGTGGGATTGCTGGATCATACAATATTTCTATTTCTAGCTTTTTAAGGAAGCACCATATAGTTTTCCATAGGGGTTGTGCCATTTTACATTCTCATCAGTAGCACCTAAGGAGTTCTAATCTCCCTGCAACCTCTCGAACGTTTGTTATTTCTTTTTTTTTTTTTAATTAGTGCCAGTAATGTTGGGGTGAGATGTTATCTCAACGTAGTTTTGATTTGTATTTCTCTAATGGGTAATGATCATAAGAATTTCTTCATGTGTCTGTCAGCTGCCTCAATTTCTTCTTTGGTGAAGTGCCTGTTCATATCCTTTGCCCATTTTTAAATTGGATTATGTCTTTTTATAGTTAAGATGTTGCAGTATCTTAAAGCTTTTAGGGATTAGACCCTTGTCAGATATGTTGTGGCCAAATTTTTTTTTTTCCAGTCTGCAGGTTCTCTTTTTACTGTTTCAGTGAAGTCTTTTGACGAGCATAAGTGCTTAATTTTTAGGAGATTCCAGTCATCTAGTTTATCTTCTGGCATTTGTGCATTGTTAGTTATGGTTTCTATCCTATTTATGCCATATATTAGGGCCCCTAGCATCGTCCCTATTTTCTCTTCCATGATCTTTAGTTCTAAGTTTCACATTTAGGTCTTTGATCCATTTTGAATTAGTTTTTGTGTATAGTGTGAGGTACGGGTCCTGTTTCATTTTTTTACAGATGGACATTCAGTTTTGCCAGCACCATTTGTTAAAGAGACTATGTCTTTTTCCCATTTAACAGACTTTGGGCAAGGGTGAATACTTGATATATAGTTACTGATTGGAATTAAAGCGAACAGAAGAAAAGTTACTCTAGGCTTACAGTTAGAACATTTTTCCAAAGAAAGCAAAGCATTTTTTGGCAGTCATAAAGATGTAATATCTATGAACAAGTAATAGTCAGTAGACTTTATTTATGACACAATAAAATGTACTGATGTCTTGGGCTTGTAGAAATTGAATGGAGTTAGACTGACGTTTAGATCCATTCCCACAGAACATTATCAGATAAATTAAAATACAAGGTAGTTTAAATAATGATAGCTGAAGAATATAAAAACAAATGATAAACTCAAAGGAAACAGAACGGGGTACTTGGAAATTCAAACAGTTCTTCAGAAATGATAAACACAGTTTCCTAAATTATGATTTGAGTATGGATAATTCTGAAATTACTTTAGAAGGGGGCCTAGAGATCATTTGGTTGAACAGTGGTTTCCACCCAGCTTTTCACTAAGGATCTCCATTATTTTAATTCCCACGAAGCCTGTTTTTTTTGTTTTTTGTTTTACGAGATTTTGTTTACCCAAGTATACTTATATAACTAATCTTCCCAATTTAATTAAGTCAGCAATTTGACAATGACATACCACTTCACCCCCACTAGGATGGCTATTATCAGGAAAAAAAAACCACAAAAACCCCAAAAAACAAGTGTTGACGAGTATGTAGAGAAACTGGAACCCTCATCCATTGCTGACGGGACTGTAAAATGGTCCTGCCGCTATGGAAACAGTTTGGTGGTTTCTCAAAGAATAAAATAGTCATGTGCCACATAACGTCTATTCGGGCAACGTCATCCAACTGCAAAAAACGTCTGTGGTCCCCAAGTTACGAACGTCCAACTTACCTAAAACCTGTAGTTATGAACCAACCCCCATAAAACCTATGATATTAAAAATTCGAGATATAATGGTTCGTAATAACAAAACAGGTGCTACTTTGCAACGTGCATCTAACCATTATTATTAATACTGTATTATCATGTTAAAGACGTTTTAATGTATCTGGAAGAGTTTCTTCAATGTTTTTTATGCATACCAAAGAACAGTACATATTAAGACAAACATCTGACTAACTGACACTAGATATGAACTGTACCTAACTGTTCCGACTTCAAATTCAGCTTAAAGACAGACTTAGGAACGGAACTCATCCGTAATCTGGGGACTGCCTGTTATATGTAATATGGTGTTCACACGACGTCCAAATTACATAATGTCCTATTTCACAGAATGTATCATGGATGTTAAGCATTGCACAACTGTACAGAATCACATTATGACCCAGTAACTCCACTTCTAGGTATGCATACCCAAAAGGCTTGAAAGCAAGGATACAAACAGATACTTGCACACCAATATTCACTGCAGCACTATTCACAATAGCTCAAAGGTGGAAACAACTCAAATGTTCAACAAGAGATGAAATGGGTAAATAAAATATTATACATGAAATAGAAGATTACTTAGCCATGAAGAGAAATGAACTCCTAATACATGCTGCAACATGGATGAACCTTGAAAACATTATGCTCATTGAAATAACTCATCACAAAAAGACAAATAATGCATGATTCCACTTGAAGTATTTAGAACAGGCAAATGCATCGAGACCAAAGCTTATCAGTGGTTACCAGGGATGGGTGGGCTGGAGTAAGGAGTTACTGCGTAAGGGGTACTGAGTTACTGTTAAGGGTAATGAAAAAATAGGCGATGGATAGTGGTGATGGTTGCACATGGGGAATGTAATCAATGTCACTGAATTTTACATGTAAAAATGGTGGAAATGGCAAATGTTTTGTTATGTATATTTTACCACAATTGAAAAAAAATATACATTAGGGCTGGCCCAACAGAAAAAAGTTAAGTGATCAGCTATGCAGAACTCCTGATTAGCAACAGATACTCAATAGTACCTACCAAACAAATTGATCTAATTCCTAAAATAATAAAGAAACTTTAGTGTTACAGAAAATAAGATTTAGATGCTAAAATTCTGAAAATTGCTAAGGATCCCATTTGCTACCTTACATTATCTTTATTAACCTCCTTCACTTTTAAAAACGATGAAACGAACTCCTGGGATTTAGTGACTTGCCCTAAATCACAGGGCTATGTAAATGGCAGAAATGGGGTTATTCCTGACCCTGTTCAGTATTATCACATTAACTTGCTGCCTCTTCCAACTGGAAGAGAAAACAATACAAAAAATTAATTACCTAAGGAAAGGCCAGCATTATAAGACACCTCAGTGACAGAGCTTAGAGTATCTTTTACCAATCAAAAATAGAGTGTACTTTCAAAGATACACACTAACTTACCTTCCCGGGGGCCCATAGTCCCCCCTATCATACGGTGGGGGTCGGCCATACGGGTCTGTTGGTGGTGGACCCCGGCTATCTGATGTAGGCATGCCGCTGTTAGTTGGTGGAGGAAAGAAAGCTGGGTTCACATGTGGAGCTGGCGGCGGGGCACCTGGAGGTGGTCCAGGAAGATGCGGAGGAGGAGCAAGTGTCAGGGGTGGCCCAAGAGGGCCAGGTGGGCGAGGTGGAAAGGGGCCTGGAGGTGGAGGTGGTCCCTGTTGTGGAGGTGGTGGACCAGGAGGGGGGCCGTAGCCTGGAACTGGAGGTGGAGGACCAGGAGGAAGTGGACCCAACGGAGGCTGCCCAAAAGGTTGTCCAGGAAAAAGAACTGGTGGTGGAGGGCGATCTCCTCGATTAGGAGGCCCAGCTAGTGGAGGAGGCAGAACCTGACCAGGAGGTGGAGGACCTGGTGGACCAGGTGGGCCTGGAGGACCTAATGGTGGACGTGGTGGAGTCTGTCCAGCTACAGAATAAAGGAAAGAGAAAGAAAAAAGCTTCAATAAGCTATTTTAACCTCTGTGCCAAGATTATTCTCTTAAAGCTTAACCCACAGACCAAGATTCTTTCTCTTTAAATGAAACCCATATGGTAAATACTACACTAACAACTACACAAGTATACCCTTCCAAATTTAACTAGCTCAACTTATGTTAAAGAAAATTACTAAAATAAAACCGTAATTAAAAAGATTACAAGGCTTAGAGATATATTTTCCATCTTTCCGTGTACACACACTTCTTACAGTGAAATCACCCACCTTATATTCTACTCTGATGCCAAGCTAGAAAGTGAAACAAGGAAAATTGGTCTTGAAAGGATTTTTTAAGAGGTAAGAAAATAAGACGGATGTAAATATTCTATACATAAGTCAAGCAAGTTTGGAGAAAAATAAAGACCTTTTAGGCCAAAAATGGGTATTTCCTCTATGCTGTGCCCCATATGCCATGGAATCCTAGTTTCCAGGAACAAAGGCCGAGTTCCTTTAACAAGATGCTTGATCAAATTTCCTGGATTCCAAAAATAGCATAACAAGGAGAGTAAGTCACATTAATAATGCATTACTTGAAAAAGAGAGAAAAGGAAAAAGAGGCATTAGGTAGACATGTTTTATCCATGGTAATTTAAGAAAATTTTTACCTGGAAAGGGTGGGGGTGGCCCTCCTGGTCCTGCTGGCCCAGGAAATCTGTCCCCACCGGGAACAGCCCCTGGAAAACGGCCCCGTCCTCTACCACCTTGTGGAAATGCTGCACGTGAACTGCCTCCTGGAGGACCAGCTTTACCTTCCCCAGACATTTGTCCTGATTGTGTAGCTGCAAATATCCAAATACTCATAAATAGCACTTATTAAAATAGTTCTCTGAAATGTAACCACTGTTATTAGGAACAATTCTATTTCAAACTTCATTTGCACTATATATTAACTTGCAGATGCCTTGGGCCTGTGCAAACTACATGAGATGTATTCATTAGGAAAATATTCACATCTATTTAAGTTCTTCTGAAGTCTCAAAATCCATGTTTAAATATATATCCAATGCATAAATAAGGATTATTTTCAAAATACCAGTACTTTGCAGCAGCCAAGACCGAAATTCTTCAACAGAAATCTTAATTTCAGTAGCATAGATCATTTAAATTTTGTAACATATTCTTCAGTTAAGTCTTATGTGCTAAAACATTAAAAGAAAAACAACCACTTGAATTTCCGTTAATTACATGATCATCCATCTTATCTCTTTAAATGATAACATTCATAAGTATGTTAATGGCAAATCTTTTCTATATTCACTTTACCAAGTGGTGAAAGGTCTTGGTGCGAAGCAGAAAATCAACCAACACTCTTTGGTTATCAGTGGCCTCTCCACGACCATAACACATATCCACATTAACTTTTCTTAAATCTAAGCATTAGAATGTAGTTTCCTCCTTTCTCTAAGATGGGAATGACGGGACAAGAATGGAAATGACTAAAGAACTTACACACTGTTGTATAATGTTGAGTCAGTACATCTAGAGAAAAATGGAATGGGAGTAGGTTTCCAGTAATGGGCCCACAGTCATAACCAGTAATTAAATCAGATTCAAAGCATGGATGTTTTAAGAGATTTCCTAATGAACTAAATATTAAGATGACTTCCCCAGTACAACACCTAACAAATGCCAGCAACATTAGTTAAAATATACATCTTTTAATAAAAGCCTCTGATGGATAGCTTACTTTTCCTGGACTGCATTTCAAATTGACTCAGGAACTGTTTATTGCATGGAGTTACAACAGGATTCTGACCATGTAGTTCTCTTTTAGGCAACAGATCCATTAACTTCTTTGAGGATGCTTCAGATCCAACACCAACGAGGGCAAACCTAAAAGATTTTAAAGAAGTGAGAACAGAAAGTAAGGAGGGATTAATAATGTTACTGTTATTAAAAAGGAAATAGTCTTAATTACTTGTATTTAGGAAAATTGAAAATACTTCTTAAAGCTGTACAAGTTCACATTTTCATCTTTAACTTTTTTTTAACGTGCACAATTCAATTAGTATTTACTATATTCAGTTTTACAACCATCACCACAATCAATTTAGAACATTTTTATCACCTCCAAAAGAAACTCTGTATACATTAGCAGTCACTACCCATTTCCTACCTTCCCCAGCCTTACAGAGTCACTAATCTACCTCCAGTTGCTATGGATTTGCCTATTCTGGACATTTCATATAAATGTCTGGCTTCTTTCACTTACCGTGTCTTTAAGGTTCATTCATGTTATAGCATGTATCAGCACTTCAACTTTTAGCTGCCAAACAGTATTATATTGTATGGATGTATCATATTTTATTTATCTATTCACCTGTTGATGGACCTTTGGATTGTTTCCACTTTTTAGCAATTATGAATAATGTTGCTATGAACATTTGTGGAAAAGTTTTGTATGCTTTCAGTTCTCGCGGGTATATACCTAGGAGTGGAATTACGGGGTCATGTAGCAACTGTGTTTAACTTTTTGAAGAACTGTCAGATTGTTTTCCGAAGTGGCTGCACCATTTTACATTTCCACCAGCAATGTACGAGGGTTTCAGCTTCCCCACGTCGTTGCCTACACTTGTTATTATCTTTTTGATCATAGCCATCCTAGTGGGTATGAAGTGACATCTCATTATAGTTTTGATATGCATTTGCCTGTTGGCTAATGACGGTGAGGATCTTTTCATTTGCTTACTGGCCATTTGTCTATCTTCTCTGGAGAACCATCTGTTCAGGTCCTGTACCCATTTTTTGAGTTATTTGTGTTATTATTATTGAGTTTAAGAATTCTTTATATATTCTAGACCCAAGTCCCTTAGCGGATACATGTTTTGCAAAACTTTTCTCCCATTCCGTAGGCTGTAGTTTCACTTTCTTGATAGGGTCCTTTGAAGACGTCCAATTTATAGATTTTTGTTGTTGTTTGTGCTTTGGGTGTCATATCTAAAAATGAAGACGTATGCTTATGTATTCTTATGAGAGTGGAATTTTTTCTTAATGTAAGTTAAGACTAGTAATTTGTCCAGATAACAGAAGTTTACTTCCTGATTGCAAAGGCTTAAACATTTTACCCAGCTATCTACATCTCTTATCTTTCTAAATTAGAGTACACTAAACACAACTCATAATCCTGTGCTATAATTAGTGATGTCCTGGGGGTACATGAGATGAGCAGAGATGTCCCCTCCTATCCAAGTATTCACTCTATACACATTAAAAGGCTTCAGAATGCTATGCTTGTTAAGATATATACCAGAACCAAATCCTCTGCTGTTGAGTTGATTCCAACTCACAGTGACCCCACAGGACAGAGTAGGACTGCCTCACAGGGTTTCCAAGAAGTGGCTAGTGGGTTCAAACTGCCAACACTTTGGCAGTAGCCAAGCTCTTAAATTCAGTTATTCTAACAAACCAAAGATTCAAGTACGTTCAATACTAAGAAACCCAAAAAATGGCATTCGTTTCTTTCAAGACGTCATTTGCTATACTGGGAAGACTAAGATTTGTGGATTATCACCTGTCATGTTTTCCAAAATTATCATCAAGGTAAGAGATTAAGCTATAGTTTGTCAATTTTTCTATAAAGAGAAGCCTCTGCTCTCAACATTTTTAATCCTCAGTATATACAAATTTTTCAAGCATTACTTGAATACATAATTACTTGCTACACATTTACCACAATAAAAATAAATAAGATCATAATTGCTTGTTAGCTTCCTTATCAAGTAGAATAAAGCAATAAGAGATGCCAACTGCATCATGTAGCTGTTTTCATGCAGATAATAAGTGAGGTCGATTCATTTAACTCTCATTCTTCGCACAGATATTTGAGTGTAAATGGCTTGTGCTCGACTACCAATCTAAGGGAGTCCTGGTGGCGCAGTGGTTAAAGCGCTTGACTGCTAACCAAAAGGTCACGGTTCCAACCCACCAGCCGCTTTGTGGGAGAAAGATGTGGCAGTCTGTTCCTGTAAAGATTTACAGCCCTGGAAACCCTACAGGGCAGTTCTACTCTGTCCTATAGGGTAACTATGAGTTGGAATTGACTAGATGGCAATTTTTTTCGTGACTAATCTAAAGGTTGGTGGTTCAAACCCACCTAGTGGGGCTGTAGAAAAAAGGCCTGGTGACCTGTTTTTGTAAAAGATTACAGCCAAGAAAACCCTATGGAGTAGTTCCACTCTGTAAAAACACCTGGAGTCATCATGAGTTGGAATCAACTGGACAGCAAAGGGTTTTACCATGTGTCAGGCATTATTCCCGGCCAGTGCTACCCAAAGTGTGGTCCTTGGGCCAATGCCAGTCAGAAATTCAGAAAGTGAGAGCAAGCATTTTAAAACTAACAATTTGACACTGTCAGAGCATCCAAAAATGTGATCATTTTCCTACTATGTGACTGGTTTTAAAACAAATAAAATATACTATAGGAAAAACAGAGAGACGGGAGCAGAAGGTGCTACTGTATATAGGGTGTCAGGGAAGTGAACTCTTAAACAGAGTCCTAAATGAAGTAGGGAGTATCTAGGGGAAAAGTAAACCAAGAAGTACAAACAATGCAAAGGTCCTAAGAAGGGATGTATCTGAGGAAAAGCAAGGACATTAACGTGGCTCAAGCAGTGTTAAAAAGGAGAAGAGTGGTAGCAGACAAGGTCAGAGAGGTGGTGGGGAAACGGATCATCCTGTGCCTTGTGGGCTTGTGGTGAAGATTCTGGCTTTTACTTAGTGAAATAGAAAGCCATTAGAAGATTTTGAGCAGGCAAGTCTATGATGTCACATTGAAAAAAAAAAACTGCTACTATATGGAGTATGACTGCAAGGGATTAGGGTATAAATAGGAGGCTATTGCAAAAGTTCACGTAAGAGACGATGGTGGCTTAGAACAGGTGGTAGAAGTGAAGTAGTTAGATTCTGCATAGATCTTGAAATATTCTTAGCTTAGTGTAAGAATGTTTTCTTAGCTGGGTATAACTTTTGGAGAACTGAGCAATATAAAATAAGCACATTCTTTACTTCAGCATTCTGTGTCTAGCAATTTATCTTAAAAAATGAAATCCAAAATCTGCACCTAAAGATTCATACAAAATGCCTGCTGCATTATTTTTAACAGGAAAAATTGGAAACAACCTAGGTAACAAATAAGAATGGCAAAATAAATTACAGTAGCATACCAGTATGCTGGAAAGAATTAGACATTAGAGGGTATATATATTTACTGGCAAATACTGGTTTTACATCTTGCATCAAATATGTTACAAAATATGAATTACAATCCTATCTTTTATAGGAAAAATGATATATCCATTAGGAAAAAATCTGAAAGCGTATTCACTAAAATGGTAAAAGTGATCATCTATTGATGGTGAGACTGTGGATTTTTATTTTTTTCCTTTTGGATATCTGCAGTCTATAAAGTTCCCATAACGAACCTATTTCACTTGTATAGTTTAATAAAAAGCAAAACATCCAAGTTGCTTATATTATTCTCCAGTTGTCCATCTTCCCTCATCCCTTAATCACAGTGATAGTAGTGCTTCTTAAAACTGTCACTTCAATAATTATTTTAACCATACATGGAGAAAATTCAGGGACTATTAAAATATATCTAATTTGTCCAAGCCTTCAGTTCCATTACATTTTAGTGAGCTGGATCACAGGGTATTACAGTATGACTTCTGTCTAAGAGTCCCCTTCCAGTGTGGATAATCAAGTGTCCAATACATGTGTATAATTAGCATGAACTTTTAAGAAATTATAAAAAAAATTATAATTACTACCTACTAACTCATATTAGAAAAAAGGTAAAATTCTTACCCTTTTGACTGGCCATTTGCCCGATTTTCAAAAAATTTTATCTCCAAAATATCATTTACTCCCAAAGAATGAACTGCTTCAGTTAAGTCTTCATCTGTTGTCCACTGCAAGACATTTATCTCTCATTAACCATCAAAATATAATTATTGTTTTAATTTAGTTTTTACGAGTAAACTGAGGATAAATAAGAAAATTAATTGCTCAGTGAAAATTCAAGTGCAATTACTGTCAGGTAGCCTCCAATTTCCAAAGATCACAAAAATATCTAAGAACATAACTTCCCTGAGATTAAGAAATTAGGAGACACATAACCTCAAAGATAGATGTTTTAAGAGTTTCTGATCCCTCCCAACTTTAAACTGCTATGATTTTATATTGTCAAAAACCAATCTCATTTGTCCCTTTCTCTCTTTAAAGGAATATATTTTGTGATATAAATTCCATCTTATATTTGATAAGACTGAGAGAAAGAAAAAAAAAAAACACACATGTATTCAGCGACCACGTACTGCCATCAGCTGCTCCTTGGAAACCCTATGGGGCAGTTCTTATAGGGCTGCTATGAGTTGGAATTGACTTGACTTGACAGCAACTAGTTTTTATCACATACTTCACATTCACCATTTCTTAACTCTGAAAACAATTCTTTAAGTACAATATTACTCCCATCCTACACATGATGCAATGGAGAGGTTAAAGAGCTTGCTCAATGTCACAAAACTAACAGATGGAGGAGATAAGATTCAAATTCTTACTTAGAACCAATACTCCAAAACTATACTGCTACTGTCTCCAATATTGTAAAGACTGCTCAGACTGGGTGGTAGATTGGTCACAATTAGTTTTTAAAATATTTAAACAAGACATTAAAAAATAAAATACTTAATGAAGTGAAGGCTGACAAGTTTTATTTTGCCTTTTAGACATAAAATTTCATAACTTTCAAGTACATGCAACATGTTTCTAAGTTGAGATATAAAGATTCTACAGGACTATTATATCATTTCCTATCTTCTGGTGCCCAAAGGCTTCTTTTCCTGCTCTCTATCTGTTCAAGTTGTAGGGTTAATGTTTTGATTTTGGCCCTTTCTTCTACAGGACTGTTTTAACGAATATTTACGACTTAATGCTAATAAAATTATAAATACATACACTGAACAAGCAGTTAACAAAGTTTCCAACCAACAATCTTACTTCTAGTCTCATGAACAACCCAATCTAAAATACAACGTATATAGCAGTGTGGTTCTAAAAATCAGATTTCGAATTTAAGAGCAGAAATAAAACTCAAGAAGTCTGTAATATGAATTAGAAAATGAGAATTGTTTTTAAACCAGGAGTGGTACTGTGTTCCTTTCTTTCTCTCCTACATTTCTGAATTCTGGTTTGAGAGCTTATGTGATCATTTCTTAGTAAAACTGGGATATCTGAACTGAGGAAGGAGTTGTTGTTAGGTGCCACTGAGTTGGTTCTGACTCATAGCAATCCTATGTACAACAGAAAGAAACACTGCCCAGTCCTGTGCCATCCACACAATCACTGCTGTTTGAGCCCATCATTGTTGCAGCCACTGTGTCAATCCCTCTCCTTGAGGGTCTTCCTCTTTCTCACTGACCCTCTACTTTACCAAGCATGATGTCCTTCTCCAGGGACTGGTCCCTCTTGATAACATGTCCCAAGGACATGAGACAAAGTCTCATCATCCTTTTAAGGAGCATTCTTCTGGCTGTACTCCGTGCAAGACAGACTTATTTGTTCTTGTGGCAGTCCGTGGTATATTCAATATTCTTTGCCAACACCGTAATTCAAAGGCATCAATTCTTCTTTGGTCTTCCTTATTCACTGTCCAGCTTTTGCATGCATATTGGGTGACTGAAAATAACATGGCTTCAGTCAGGTGCACCTTAGTCCTTAAAGTGACATCTCTGCTTTTTAACACTTTAAAGAGGTCTTTTGCAGCAGATCTGCCCAGTGCCATACATCCTTGGATTTCTCGACTCCTGCTTCCATGGGTGTTGATTGTGGATCCAAGTAAAATGAAATCCTTGACAACTTCGTATTTTCTCCGTTCTGGCAAACCACGTTTGCTTGCTCGGGATCCTATTTCTGGCTCGTCAACATGTGACCTGCAGTTCTTGGGACGTGCGCTAGCAGCCAGTCTGACCTACCAACTTCAGGATTCACTGGCTTCCGCAGCCCTATGAGCCAGCAGCCTGCTTACCATCTGACCTGTGGATTCTGGGTTATTAGCCCCTGTAACCAAGTAAATCAGGAAAAGCCTCCAGCTGATGCCTGAGCCATGGACTTTGGGTCTTGCCAGCCTCCATAAACGCATGAGCCATCTTCTTGAGATAAATTTCTCTCTCCCTCTCTCTGTATATACATGCATCACTAGCTTTGCTTCTCTAGAGAACCCAGCCTAAGACATTTGGTACCGAGAGTGGTTCTAGAGAAACAAAATCTTGAAGATGAAGTTTTCTAAATTGGTTCTCCAGTCTGACTAGTCTTAAAGGCACTAATGACTCTGCCTCCAGTAGTAAAGAGGGTGCTGCTAATCCATGGAATGAGGTGGCGATATTAATATGCAAAGTTATCACCATCAACAGATCATGTACTGGTGAGAGGTGAGGCTCTCGGTGACTGCATGTTTGACACTCTTCTACAATTTTGTTAGAATGAAAAGTACAGGGAAGCTAATTTCACTAGACAAAATGCAAAGTGGTGAAAGAAAAGAGATGAGCTCGGGGCTTCAGAGTCACAGCTCAAGAGTCGCATGTTAGAGTGGATTTATCAGGCTGGACCCTAAGACCCATCCATGGAGTGTCCAGAGGACACACTCTGTACTACAAGGGTGAGGAATAAATTTGTGAAAGAAGCCCCAGCATCCTTGAAGACTACTGTGATTGCTGTTTTATGTAAGTCAGATATGACAGTGGGAACTGCCCTAACTGAATTAAGACATGTAACTACAGCGGGGCTGACTGGACCTTGTGGTGATAGGGGCCTAATAGTGGCACTTAACTGACAATGACAAGGTCGGAGTGGTTACCATGAATGTACAGCAGAGTCACAGCAGTAATTAGAATAGTATGACTCAAATGGACATACGGCATTGGCTGTTTAGTCACGGTGTCCTCAAGAGTGACACAGATGGGAAATCTACTAAATATTTACTTTATCTGTATAAGCAGAATAATTCCAGGTCAAGTGAACAACGTTCTAACTTGAACTGCCAGAATAGATTCACAGCCTCTCAATTAATTCCCAGACTTGAGTCAGTTTACAGACCCACAACCTCTCAAATGAAGGGGACGCTGGATTTCCTTGAGGAAGGACCCCACTACACTGTCAAAATTTTATACTGTGAGTCTTCCTCCCAACCTTCCCTGAAAGGATCTACAGCCTTTTACAACAGTATCTGTTCACTGGGGAAAAGGAAATAATCATAGTTTTCAGGGATTACTGGACACTGGCTCTGAACTGACACTAATTCCAGGAGACTCAAAACGTCACTGTGGCCCACCAGTCAGAATGGAGGCGTATGGAGATCAGGTTATTAACAGAGTCTTAGCTCAGGTCTGTCTAACAGTGGATCCAGTAGTTCCAAACTCATCCTGTAGTGATTTCCCTAGTTCCAGAAAGCATTATTGGAATAGACATACTCAGCTATTGGCAAAACTCCCACACTGGATCCCTGACAATGTGAGTAGTAAGGTAAGAACGGTAATTTATCTGAAGATAAAACAACAGGATTGTATTTAACTGGTATCAGAGTTGAAAGACCACAAAATTCAAAACCAGAAGAACTGCAATTAAAGGTATTTATATTTCCCTTCTCATCACATAAGCAAGCATGTAGAAAAGCACACTGAATAACTTCAAATTTATATTTTGAGGAAACACGAACTGCTAAAGCAGTTCAGAATCAATTACCAATACTTTTATTCATGTTAACTTTACTTACCCATGTTAGATTGCCAATATATAATGCAATTCTCTTCCCAGTATACGTATAAACAACATTTGGTGCCGCTCCTTTACCCACATCATCGCCAACAGTTGGTGGGAGAGTATCCATATAATCTCGGTCTTCTGGGGCATCTCCATTATTTGCAGATGGAGAGATGACATCATCATACAAATCTATCTGATCATGCCCACCATATTCAGCTTCCTGAGATACAGAAATAATGCTCTAGATTATACAACTGTCAGGACATTACTAAATAGATTTGAATACAAGTTCATTTTTTTGTTTTGAAAATCTGATAGGAGATAGAAAAAAGGCCCAAACATCTCAATACATATCTTCTCTTACTTTATGCAACTGTTATATTCTTGAATGGTGCCTATAAAGTGAATTTCTATATAACAAATCCTATCTCCCCACTGATTTTTATTAAAATACAGAAAATAATCTTCCTCTGAAAAAGAACTGACAAGGAGACAAAATAAAGTAATAACATAAAACTTCCCTGGGAAGTAAAACACTCATTTTAAGTAAACGTAACAACATATAAATGCAAATAGATGAACTTTTAAAAAATATATTTGACATTAACAAGAAAAATATCCCAAATAAAAACCAGAGCCATTACAAATCTTTAATATTTGACCACAGAAAAATACAACTAATATTTTCCATGGTATTCAGATCTGTTTCCCAACCCTGTGAAAGATACTAGTTTTAGGAAAAAAAACAGTGAGCTGAGCCATAGGGAGGAGATGAACAAATATGAGTATGTAAATGATTCAAAATTTCCTAACAAATGAACAAAGAAAATAAATGAAATATAGGTAAAACTATACAAATTATTATCTTGCAATAGTTTTATTATTCCCAGTCTAAAAAGAGTTCATGCTTACCTGACTTCTTAGGTATCTAATCAATTAGCAAAAGTGATAAATAAGGATACAGTAAAGCGTTGCCACTGAGTATTACCAGCAGACACTGAGTATTACCAGCAGAATTAAAGCAATGCTAGTGGATTGCCACTAACATGCCTATATGAAAAGCAAGCAAGATGGAAGAGGAAACGGAAAAGGAACAGATATGTGAACATGAAAAAAATGGAAGAAAGAGCTCAATTTATAAATAAGCAAAAAGAAAAATGAAATGTAGGTATTGGCAGAACAACCAATGCCATTTAAATTGCTTTTGGTACCATTATTGGACCACAGGCTTGACTACTCATGTAGCAGAGGAAAACCTCCATTTTTATCCTCCTCCTGTCTCACCACTGAATCTTTCTACCACTAAATACCTGTTTTATTCTTATGAGATAAAACACTTCATATAAGTAGTAAAAGAAAAAGGGAGACAATTACAAAACAATAACGAAAGAGTTCAGATAAAACTCATAGCCTCTCCCATTAAGACAATTTACTAAGGAAGAACTGTTACACAATGACACATAAGGAGGAGTTAATAGTTCTAGAGAATAACTATTACATGGATAGAGAATGACCCAGAGAAAGCATTTATTACATGACTATAAACAGATCTCCAAAATATTATTATACAGGCCCCAAGAGAACATGACTATCGTTCTGTTATTCAGAGGGAACCATAACAAGATTTATAAAAGAAAGAAAAGAAAAAAACTTAGAAGGGGAAATATCAATTATACAATTAGCCACACACACAAAAACAACCCGTTGCTGAGTCAATTCCGACTCAGAGCAACCCAAAGGGAACTGAATTTTGTAAAGTCATCTTCAGGTAATCTGTATAATTACATGAGTAATCCAATTTACTAATTATATAATAATAGAATCTTTATATACCAATTTTATTATGAAGCAGAACATGTCTGTAAGGCTTATTTTAAAAGAGGCCCAAGATCTCAAGGTAAATCAGAGAACAAACCCATTGTTAGCAATGGGCAGAAACTAAGACCATACGTCACTGAATAATGCCATAATTTTGTTTGCACAGCAATACCAAAATAATATTTAAAAACTAAGTTTTTGTTAACCAAAATAGCATGCTCAAATTGCAGTGATAATAAAAATTAGGAAAAAAGGAGTGAGTTTTGTTATGAAGTTTCAGTGTAGCTGAAGCTTCAGGTGATGTGGTTGCAGCATAGTGGTTCCATACAGTTAAGATACTAAAAAGCTTCCCATAAGGGGTAGTGGACACTTTAAACTCTCTTGCAATCCGGTCCTGTACATCAAGTAGTTATTATTATTATTCAAAGGGAGTTGTGTTTCCATCCTCCTCAGCAGAGACTATAATCACAATATGGGGTCTGAGGGAGAGTAAAAAAAGAATGCAAGGGTTATTAACAGCAAGACTAAAATGAAAGTATTTAAATTTACACCTTCACTTATAAAAAACAGGTTAACACATTGGTTTCTCATTAATTGTAAATCTATGAGAATGTTTACATAAGTAGACAATAATTTACAAACATAATTGCAGCTACACTAACTTGGTGCATTATAATCACTTACTATTTTTGTCCATCCATGAATTCCTATGTTGACATCAACCAATTTTCCATATTGATATGATTCTACCAATATTAGGATCAGCCATTTTGTCTGGTAGCTGGATTGCTTCCAATTGGTTGAAGTGTGGTGCTAATTGAGACCATGGTCCTGGGGTTTGATCTCCAGGTGGGCTACTTAGCTTCACTCTCTTCCAAGGCCACAGCCTGTACTCCTAGCCCCAACCGTACGCATTTGGATTTGGTGAAAAAATATTAATGAATCTGAATACATATGCCACCACTACCACAAATGCAACTCTATGCACATATTCTTTTGTAGTATCAGTAATCTTTCTATTTAGCTTCAGTATATCACACTTATTCCCCCCCATTTAAAAAAAAAAAATACAGAACACACACAACTTTCTGTTCCCACTTTAATAAAGTGGGGAAACACCCATATTCAGTAATTATGCAAAATGTGTATAAAGCAAGTGAGCTCTGAAAGCCTACTGAACAAAGGAAAAAGTTTCTACTCTGTCAAAGAGACAAGGTCAACAGTGTCAAGTTCTATTATGCACAGACCTCCAGTAAGCAAAGGCTCTTAAAAGTTTGTTCATAAATCCATTAGGTAATTTTTTTTTTTTTTTTGGTTCCCTACTGTTCTAAATCACTACAACCATTTAAAGGCAAGGTACTGTCACAAAATTTTACATAGATTATGTTCTACACGATATATAAGTAACTTGCCATATCAAGGAGAAAGTGTTTAAAAACAAAATGAGTACTAAAATGACCAGAATTCTATTAGTTCCTTTAACGCAATGTTTCTCAACCTTTTTTTCATTATCTTCCTCTCCCCTACAACAAAACAGTATTTTTACATGGCATTAACAGGATACAAACCATAACCAACAACATGCAAACTCCAGAAGATAAACTAGATAACTGGGATCGTCTAAGAATTCAACACTTAGGCTCATCAAAAGACTTCACAAAAAGAATAAAAAGAGAACCCATAGACTGGGAAAAAATTTTTGGACGTTACAAGTCAGACAAAGGTTTAATCTCTAAAATCTACAAGAAAATCCAACACCTCTACAACAAAAAGACAAATAATCCAATTAAAAAATGGGCAACGGAAATGAACAGACACTTCACCAAAGAAAACATGGAAATCAAAATCACAATGAGATACCATCTCACCCCAGCATTACTGGCACGAATGTAAAAAAAAAACTGGAAATAACAAATGTTGGGAGAGTCTGTGGGGAGATCGAAACTCCTACGCACTGCTAGTGGGAATGCAAAATGATACAACCATTTTGGCAAACGATATGGTGCTTCCTTAGAAAGCTAGAAATAGAGATACCATATGATCCAGCAATCCTACTCTTAGAAATATATCCTAGAGAAATAAGAGCCATCGCACGAATAGATGTATGCACATCCTGTTCATTGCAGCATTGTTCACAATAGCAAAAAGATAGAAACAACCCAGATGCCCATCAACAGATGAATGGATAAACAAACTATGGTACATACACACAATGGAGTATGATGCAACGATAAAGAACAACGATGAATCTGTGAAACATCTCATAAAATGAATAAAACTGGAGGACATTATGCTAAGTGAAACAAGTCAATCACAAAAGGACAAATACTAAATACTGTATGAGACCACTACTATAAAAACTCATTGAAAGGTTTATACACAAAAAGAAACAATCTTTGATGGTTACCAGGAATGGGAGGGGTGGGGGTGGGGAATAGTAAATAGACAACACATAAGTGGTAACTTTGGTGAAGAGTAAGACAGTACACAATAGTGAGGAAGCCGGCACAACTCGTACAAGGAAAGGTCACAGAAGCTCCACAGACACATCCAAACTCCGAGGGACTGGACTGCTGGGCGGAGAGCTGTGGGGACCATGGTCTCAGGGAACATCTAGATCAACTGGCATAATACAGTTTATAAACAAAATGTTCTACATTCTACCTTGGCAAGTAGCGTCTGGGGTCTTAAAAGCCTGTGAGCAGCCATCTAAGATACTCCACTGGTCTCACCCCTTCGGGAGCAAGGGAGAATGAAGAAAACAAGATACAATGGAAAGATGAGTCCAAAGGACTAATGGACCACAACTACCATAGCCTCCACCAGACTGAGTCTAGTACAACTAGATGGTGCCTGGCTACCACCGCTGACTGCTGTGACAGGGATCACAATAGAGGGTCCCGGACAGAGCTGGAGAAAAACGTAGAAGAAAATTCTAACTCACAAAAAAAGACCAGACTTACAGCCCTGACAGAGACTGGAGAAACCCCAAGAGTATGGCCCCTGGACACCCTTTTAGCTCAGTGGTGAAGTCACCCCTGAGGTTCACTTTTCAGCCGGGGATTGGACAGCCCCATGAAACAAAACAAGACTAATGGGGCAGAACAGCCCAGGGACAAGGACTAGAAGGCAGGAGAGGACAGGAAAGTTGGTAATAAGGAAGCCAAGGTCGAGAAGTGAGAGAGGTGACATGTCATGGGGTTGTTAACCAATGTCATAAAACAGTATGTGTACTGTTTAATGAGAAACTATTTGTTCTGCAAAGCTTCATCTAAAGCACAATCAGAAAAAAGAGTATTTTTAGACATTTTTTTCCCTAAACAGTGAAATTTTAATATCACAGTTATACTATATACCATTACTGGGATAACAGCCATGGAATAGGTATCAAAAGTACAGCTCTTCCTTCATTCTCTCTGACAGGCCCAACATTGCTTTTGGTGGTCCTAAAACTAGCTAATACCTTTCTTGCTTTATATGATGCTACATTTAATGACACAGCAAAGGCCACTTGTTTCAAAGCGCTCTATTTAAAAAAATAAAAGAATTTTAACAGTCATTCTCATTTAGGAAAATACAAGCACGGGGGAAACTCACATGTTACGTATACATATTACATTCTATACCAAGGAAGAGAAACACTAACATGCAAAATCCAATAGCAGATAATCTAATATTTATTATTTTAGAAAATATTTCATTTCTTGATTTTGTCTAATTATATTCTGCACGAGTATTAGTTTGTAATCCCTGTAAATAGCTCAACTGACAGTAACGAAGCCAACCTGGTACTAAAAACATGCCAGATAAACTGGACAATTCATAGGCAGCTGAATTACCTATACTCGTAAATAATAAAACTGAGAAGAGTTCTAGCTCTCTCAGACATTTCTACCTTTGCTTCTGAATCAGTCTCTGTCTATCTCATTCCCTACCGTATAGCCTTATCTTAGACAGTTTTCTGTTAAACATAAAACTTAGCAAAAATAAGCTTTCACCATTTGTCCAATAAAACTTATTTTCCATAACTGACTAAGAATTGGATAAATACATAGTTTTATCCAAAAAGCATAATGACTCATGAAAGGTAGGCTGACTTATTAGGATATCTAGGTTCATAACTTCTAAATGATATTTTTTTCTAGTCACTATCTACACAAACATCTTCATTTAAAGTTGGCTGGTCAGATTACTAAATTGGCGTTGTTATCAGGGACCTACAGCCTGATGGACCAGAAACTAAATTCTATATTAATAGCTTTTTACCCCCAAACAAACAAAATACACACTACTCTAATGCACAGAGTATAAGCTTTTCGGGAATTCTTAAAATTTTTCTTGACTTTCCTCTTCTGCCCCCAACAAAAATTCTACAGATAAAGATACACATAAAGGAGTGGTATCTACGTTACAGCTCCTATCAGTGTTATGTAGATGTCTCTCATGTCCACTACAGTGCACTCTCAGGGTAGAAATTATTTAATCTTTGTATTCCTTGTTGTTGGCATATAACAGATACTCAAGAAATGTATTATGAACAACTGAGGTTTAAAAATATTATTATTTAGTTTTGGGCAAAAAAAAAAAAAGAAAGCCTATTGTAATTACTATTACACTAGCTACTACACTGAGTACAAATCCCAGTTGAAACTGAACTGCTACACCATAAAGGCCAAGACAGAAGCTCTTTCTTCTCAACTCCAAATTCAAGTAATGTAGAGGTTTGGAAGTAGTTCAAATTCTCCCTCTACTAGGGCAACCATCCTCAGTCTCAATTTGATGACATCCAAAGACCTTCAATTTAAGAACTAAACAGCATCCATAAAGAACAGGCTAGTCTCTTGTGTCTTCTCCCCTCCTCCAACTTTCTTCTCCATTCTTAAATTCACCTGGTGAAGAAAGAACTCTACTATAATTTCACTGTTTTATTCTCACCCCATTCCCAAACAAATGAAAGTTTCTTCTAAGACAACTGAATGAGTTACACTTTTTGAAGTAGGTTAATACTATGCATTATCAAAATACAAAAAAAAAAAAAAGCTTCATAAAAGGATTGGTCATACTTTGAGAAGAAAATGAATAATACAGACTACAGAGAATTTCAAGGTTTATACATTCAGTTTAAAATGCAGCTCACATTGGAGAACAAAGATTTTTTTTTAATGTTTACTGTAGTTTAAAAACCAAAAATAAGACTGGCTAATAACTAGTAAGATAATTTTTTTCAACTACAGTTAAGTCTTACAGTTTACTAAAGCAACCGGTAGATATAAGGTCACCAGCTAATAACAGACAGCACAAATTAAATCAGTCAGTAGTAACTTTGTAGTTGCCTCTAATTCTGATAAATTACAGAAAAACATTTCAATTACAGTAACAACAACAAAAAAACCAAGATGAACCTTGAAAATGATTATTGTTTTGTGGCTATTTAAAAAAACAAAAAAAAAAAAAGGATTGACCACAGCAAGCAGATTACAGAGGCCAATGACATGCAAAATAAGAAAAACAGGCTCTTGCAGCTCCACCCCCATTAATCTATTCAAAGGTATAAAGATTTTACTGGTAAAATTACATACTCTATGTGAGATACAATGCTACAGGTACAAGTCAATGAAAAGTTACATCTAAAAAAGAACGCTATAAAGTAGGCCCTCATCAAATCCCCCAAATTTTAATCTTTTCTTACCTCCTGCTCAGTCAGCACTTAAACTGCACAGGGATAAGAAGTATCACTCCATCCAGCTATCTGGATAAGGAAGATGTCCCTCCCAAGTTAAGTATACTAAAGACTAAAAATATCTCATGAAGGAGGGCTCACGAAAGCTCTAACTTCTAAAATTATGCCCCAATTCTTCCTTAATTGTGGGCAGAAAGATGAAGTAATGTATTCTCTTGTAAGAAAACCTAATGAAGACAGTCCTGAAAACTCAATTGTTCCTTTACTTGCAGGTATGGCCCTCTTTTGGATGGAATGTTATATAATAAAAAGAAGAAATTTCCTAGAGGTCTTGTCTACTGACCTTAAAAACATTAGATCCCACTCTGTGCAGCACTCTAGTAAATTTTCAAATTTGCAATTGACACACTCAGACACCACATACCTCCAAAATATAAGCAGAATGAAAAAATTTTTTTCAACTTAACATTTGATAGCAATGAGTTATATTTAAACATATCCAGTTTTTAAGAGAGGAAGAAACAATTCGAATTTTTTTTTTTCTTTTCTAACATCTAAACCAGGGGCACGAAGTCATTTTTGACAAACACAACAGTAAGAATTTCTGTGGTTTCCATGTTTTTAAAAATCTTGAGTCCTTAATCACAAATAACACCCTTAACGGGGGGAGGGGTGGGAAACACACGTTAAACTGCAAAATTTTACTAAGTTTCTCATTAAAAGAAAACCCAAAAACCAAACCCGCCGCCGTCGAGTCGATTCCGACTCATAGCGACCCTACGAACCTGAAAATATAAAACAATGCTCTTAGGTGCACTACATTTATTTAGGCACAATTTGATTTTTTTTCTTTTTAAACGCATTACCACATAAAATGCAGTAACGATATGAACAGCAGATTTAGCGCTTAAACGTCACTAGCAACAAACGAGATCTTCTGCAAGGATGTCCATCATCAGGCATCACTGCTTCGCGGCTAGTTCTTCCAGGCAACCGTGGCCTTTGAGATACTGGAAAAACCTTGCATTCTCGCTTTCTCCAACCTCTCAAAATGTAAAGCAGGTCCCACGGAAGAAATTTAAGACTTTACATTCGAAAATAGGGTCATATCTACAAGTCTTTATTTTTAAAATATAGCATAAGAAATTCGTGTGAACGGTTTTCATTTTTAATCACTCCTCTACGTCTAATATCTTGGTGAGCTACCATCTTTTTGTTCCATCCCACCATTGCGCTTCTAATTCTCTTTGCTCAAGCCATCTTCACGGGTATTTTCACCACAAAGGCTAAGAGCGACTGGGCCTCACAGGCACCGCAAGCCCCCGATTCACGAGGCGAAGGGCCAACGCACCGACTTTTATATACGATCTGTGGGTCCAAAAGTCAAAGGACTTGTTGCAAACGTGCCCACACCTAACCCGCCTTCAGAAAGCGTGAGGGGAGGAGGAGGAAAGAGCCACGCCGAAGCCTGTCGCAAACGCAAGCAGGAGCGCCCAGCAAACTGGGCGCGCGGGATACAAAGGGCTGTGAATGCGGCCTTCCATGAAGCGACCGTGCGCGGTGAGAGAAACAAAATGGAGCGACAAAAGGAATCGGAGCCCGAGCAACGGGGATCAGGAAAAAGGCGGCAGCCGTCGCGCGCCCCGCCAGGGCTTCCTCCTCGGGCCCGGCGGCAGGGGAGGGGACGCGGCGGTGGCCCGTTCTCCCCGCCGCGCACACGCGGCCCTGCCGCCCGGGCCTAGCGCGGCGCGAAGCGGTCGCCGGCCGCCGCCAACAATGGAGAGTGAGGCGGCAGCGAGGGAGGGGCGGTGGTGGCTGCACGGCGGCCTGCGTCCGGGCTCCAGGTCCCGCGACAGGCCGCAGCCCCCGCGGCCCGCGAAACGACGCGGTAGAACGAGGGCCGGGGGAGGGGGGGGCGCCGCGTCGGGACCGAGCGGCGCGGCCCAGAAGCGACAAGGGCGCACGATCTGCAGCCTGCTGGCTCGCGGTCCGCGACGGGCCCCAGGTCAGCGTCCGGGCCGCAGCGCCGCCCGCTTCGGCAGCGCGGGCCCGGGCCCTCACATACCTGGTTGAACTCTTCGCCCACATCCGCGTAAATGTCTATGTGATCCACACCGTCCGCCATTTTCCTTCGGCCTCGGCCGCCGCCGCCGCCTCCTGCAGATCCGCCCGCCGCGGGAGCAGCAGCGGATCTAGCGGAGGGGGCGGGGCGCGTTGCGTCACTTCCGAGGCCCGAGGGATGGAGGCGGGGGCGATCGGGGGCGATCGGGGGCGGTGGTCGTTGTCCCTGTAGCCCTTGCTGCTCCGCTGGCTGAAAGGAAAAGCTGCGCCGCTGACGGCCCAGGCGGTTTTTTTTTTTTTTGGTGTGTGTCTGGATTATGTCTGGAGGCGGGGGCGGGGGACAATTCCCTTGTCCTACTGGCGCATCCGGCATGCCAGTGCGTCCCATTTGTTTCCAGAGATTGTCTTCTCACGTTGCCCTTAACACATTCAAACGTTTTTGTTTTTTAGAAAGTATTTTCGTTTCTCAGTTTTCTTTTCATTTTTTAGCCGGGGCTTCTAGTGAGATTGATATTATAGATCTCCGATTATATAGTGTAACCCTTGGGCATTCAGTGAGCGCCTTAAGAGCAAGAACAAGGTCTTATTCCTGCATCCTTAGAGGACCAGCAGAGTTTCATTTGCATTATAAACGCAGAATACCCGTTTGTGGTTATCTTGAGTCATCTGCATGCTACTGTTCTCTTTTATGTTTCCGTCTCTAGCTCCAGTCCTTGTCTTCTTTCGTACCCTCACGTCCACCCGCTGTTCATTGCCCTTCATTTTTTCCCTCAGATCTGCAGTTGGCTTTCTCTGGAATAGTTCAAATGCCTGTTAACTTGAATACTTTAGTTTTCAGAGCCCACCCAACAAGGTGGCGGCATCTTGAGGCAAGTGACTTGTCTCCTAATAGAATGTCCGAGCGGTGAAGGAACTGGCAAATGTGTCATCAGGTCCAAACATCTTATTTTATAGATGAGAGAACTGAGGCCTAATAAAACCTAAGTGATGGGTGTCACATTGTCAATAAACAAAGATGTTTCTCCAGTTTGAAACCATCCCCCATTCTTTATTTTTAACCCATTTAAAAACCCGCTAAATTAGAGTGTGTTTCCTAAGATACAGACTGGCCGGAAGTCATTCGTACAGGGATAATCTAAGCAACATTTGTCCTGGTATGGTAGAAAATGCTTAGACTTTGGTTGGAGTCATAGAGACAAATCTAGTGATCTGGTTACAAAGTTTTGTTCAGGTGCTTTAAGAGCTACATGATCTTATAGTCAAGTTAAATAACCTCTCTCATCTTCAATCTTAGAATCTTTAAAATTGTGGTAATAACATCTACCTCATGAAAGATGATTGTAAGTTAAATGAGATAATATGCAAAGTGTCTGCCATTGAGAAATACTGATTTCCTTTTTTTCTCACATGGGACTTTTTGAAAGAAAAGAGCCACTCAGAATAAAGAGTGAGAGCATTTTTTAGATTAGTGGTTGTGGCGCGGCGCATCACACCTTCCACCCCACCTCCTTGATTCAGTCAACTCCACATTTCAAGCACTGCGCTTCCTTTTACCAAATTCTATTAGGTAGAACCTTAAGAAATGGCCATTTTTAATAGGTCAAAAATGGTCTAACATTGGCAAGCTCATAATATATCATTCAGGATGCACTCAGCTGCAGTAAACTGACATAAACAATAAGGAAACTTACTGTAAGAATGGAGCCCTGGTGGAAGTCAGCACAACTGAACTAAATCAAAAGCTAAGAAGTTTCCTAAATACAACCAAACACTTTGAGGGACAGAGTAGCAGGGGTAGGGGTCTGGGGACCATAGTTTTAGGGGACATCTAGGTCAATTGGCATAACAAAGTTTATTAAGAAAATGTTCTGCATCCTACTTTAGTGAGAAGTGTCTGGGGTCTTAAAAGCTAGTAAGTGGCCATCTAAGATGCATCAATTGGTCCCAACCCACCTGGAGCAAAGAAGAATGAAGAACACCAAAGGCACAAGGAGAATATTAGCCCAAGAGACAAAAGGGGCCACATAAACCAGAGACTCCATCAGCCTGAGACCAGAGGAACTAGATGGTGTCTGTCTACCACCAATGACTGCCCTGAGAGGGAACACAAATTCTAGTAAAAAGACCAGACTTAATGGTTTGACAGACTGGAGGGACCCCAGAAGACATGGCCCCCGGGCTCTTTGTTAGCCCAAAACTAAAACCATTCCCAAAGCCAACTCTTCAGACAAAGATTAGACTGGACTATAAAATGATACTCCTGAAGAGCGTGCTTCTTAGCTCAAGTAGATACATGAGTCTGAATGGGCAGCTCCTGTCCAGAGGCGAGATGAGAAGGCAGAAAGGGACGGGAGCTGGTTGAATGGACACAGGAAATCTGGGGTGGAAAGGAAGAGTGTGCTGTCACAGTATGGGGAGTGCAACTAAGGTCACGTAGTAGTGTGCATAAAGTTTTGTATGAGAAACTAACTTTAACTGTAAACTTTCATTAAAGCACAAAAAAAAAAAAAAAAAATGGAGCCCTGGTGGTGCAGTGGTTAAGCATTTGGCTGCTAACCAAAATGCGGGCAGTTCAAATCCACCAGCCACTCCTTGGAATCCCAATGGGGCAGTTTTACTGTGTCCTGCAATGGGTTTGGTTTTGGTTTTGTAGGGTCGCTATGAGTCGAAATCGACTTGACGGCAATGGGTATGTTTGTTTTTTTAATCGTAAGAATGTCAGTGAACTGACAAAATTGACTGAAAGGCTTGAGAACCAAGCTTGGAAAACAGGCAGAAACCAAAAGAGGTAAAATAGAGGTCAAGTTACAGGCATAACTACTTAGGAAACTCTCATTAGCATCATTGCCACTGGTTACTTGAAAAACAGTTTTTACCATGGTTTTTAAATGTGTTGCTTGCTACTAGTGGTCTTGCTTAGTGCTCTGTAATGCTTTGTTTCTGGAAATTGCTGAAGATGAAATTGAAATGCCACATTAAGGGTCACAATGTCCATATGAAGGGCTGAACCTCAGCAAAATGAAGTAATAATATGAGTGGAAGTGTTTTTCAACATCGACAACCACTTCTTATGGACCTAAAGAGGCTCAAAGTTAGTAATCATACTGTTTATTTTTTCTTACAACTTATATAACAACTTAATGTATGAGTGATGTCAGAATTTATTCATTTCACTATTCAACAAATATTTTTAATGCAACTACTGTATGGGGGCCACCATAGTAGGCAGTGCTGAGGGATACAAATAAGATTGCACCATGATGTAGTGAAAAGTGGAGTAGTAAGGTGCAATGAGACAGATCTTGGTTTGAGATCCAGCTCTTTCACTTCTTTACTGTGCCATTTTGAGCAAGAGTTATTTAACCTCAATGAGACCTGTTGAAAAAAATAGGAGTAATAATACCTACCTCCTATGGGGTGTTAGACTGGGGGTGAGAGGAATGGAAAGGAACTAATAACTATTGAGTACATAATAATATGTGCCAGCCCTTGAGATAGATGCTTTACGAGCATAAACTCAGACTATATGTGTATGAAGCCCTGGTGGCACAGTGGTTAAGAGCTGGGCTGCTAACCAAAAGGTCAGCAGTTCAAATCTACCAGCTGCCCCTTGGAAAACCTATGGGGCAGTTCTACCCTGTCCTGTAGGGTTGCTATGAGTCAGAATAGACTCAATGGCAACGGGTTAACGGGTTTATATGTGTATAGTGTGGGAACTGGAGGAGCTAGTAATCCTTGGATATACAGATATTACTTTGAAATTCTCTGGGAAGATATGTCAGTCAAAACCTGACAGGAAATAGATGGCACACTCACTGGGAAAATGGAGGAGAGTTTAACAAAGTAACTGCTTATAAGAGTGTGGGCAGGGTTAAGAGAAAACTAATAGAGGGTGATGAAGCACTGAAAAGCAAGCAACAGTGAGGAAGCTAAAGGGACAAAGGAAGAGTCTCGGGCTGCGCTTGGTAAAGGCACAAAACCAGTGAAATGTGTATGTATATATATATATATATATATATAGAGAGAGAGAGAGAGAGAGAGAGAG